AGACTTGGCTTTTGCTTTGCCACCCTTTTCTCGGGAGACAGGTTGTAGAATAGTGTAATTAGTGTTTCTGTTTGTTTGTGTATATCCATCCGTTAAACCCTGGCTCATGTGTTAGTCGCCATTCGCCCCTAGACTGAGCCATATTGGGGATGTAACAGGCTCATAAATGTGAATTCTGGATTTAATGAAAATCTGATAAAGAAGGTGGCGCCATAGTACTTAAAATTATGTGAAGTTACTGTTAATTAAATTAGATGACCTAGATGACACTGTTACATCAGTTTTGCTGGCAATACATACAATATTTCACCAGTAAGGATAATATTTAGGAACCTGAGAGGGGTAACCTTCCCTTTTCTAACAGCTTTATCCAATACAGGGTCATGGGGGAGCTAGGGCCTGTCCTGGCAGGAATCACGTGCAAGACAGAATATATCAAAATAATCACATGAGCGTGGGGAGAACACACAAAACCAGAACATGGGGAGAACATGCAAACCCTACACAGCTGTCCCCAGGAATTGGGCCCAGGGCCCAAATGCTGCAAGGCAGCAATTCTAACCATAACGCCTCCATGCTGCCCCTGAAAGGACTAACTACCTTCCCAGTTCCTTAAGTTCCTGGGGAGACTAGCATCTTTTTTTAATAGAGGCACTTAAGTTACCTACTGTATTTGCTTCATGCTGGCATGAGGCAGCCAGAGCCCTGCACCAACCACAGGGCCCTGTACAAGGAGGTGAGGAGGCACCTGGTTGCCGGAGAAAGGCTGCGGGTTCCTAGACAAGTCTGGGAAAGGATGCAGCCATAACAAATGGACAATAAGTTAAAGGACCTCAACTGGATGACCATGCACCAGAGGCTGGTGACCAGAGAAGTCTTCTACAGACACTCACCCACCAGGAATCCGCATTGCTCCTGGGACACGTGTTCTGTCGAGGAAACACAGGAGCACGTGTTATGGAGCTGACCCTGTTCCAAAGTGGTGTGGGGCAGAATAGACAACACTATGTAACTCCTGGGAGTGGCACAAATGCACAGCTACAAGTGCATCCTGCTGGGGCTGGTATAGCGGAGCGCGGAACTGCAACGGTCACATTGGATGGGAGTGTACTGTGCCCAGGCGAAGTCTGCAGGGGAGGGTGTAGTGGAGCTAGTTTGGACATGGTGACGTCATCGCCCTCCCTGCGCATAGCAGGGACCTCAGCCGCCTGGGCTGTGGGAGGTCTCCTTTAGCTCATGTGGTTGGTTCCCTGTTGCGTTATGCCGGAGACATGGGTTCATGCCCCAGGAGTTGTGGGACGAACCGGTGGGGTGGAGTGGTGGAGGGCATGAGATCGTGTGAAACCGTGACAGTCAAACTAACCGGAATAGACAAAGGAACACAGTACTTGCTTTGGCTACTGGTGTCCCTAACAAAACAAGGACTATGAAATGCGAGGAGCACTATCACCTAGCACCTAGCAGATGTGAAGGAGAATGAAGCATGATGTTGCCAAATGGGGCTTCTCAATGGCAAAGGAGAGCTGGAACAGGGACTGAAGAGGAAATCCCTATTCCTTGGAGCTCCACAGTTTCACAGCCGGAACAGGGAAAAAGCACGGACAACAGCGAATGGTAGGGCTTGGAAGGAACTCTTTCATTGTGCAAGTCCAGCCCCAGCATCCACTTGATCTGATTGATTAAGGACAGTCACCTGATTGAGAAGGTTTTTAATTGATTAGAGCTTAATGTTTTGTTAGAATGTGTACTTATTGAGAGATGATTTTTGATTAAATAAAGTTTATTTTGATAGAAAAAAATTGATTGCTCCATTCTAAGAGTTTTGTAAAGTCTCTCAGTTATATTTCAGTGTGGGAGGGCTTCCACTCTTGCCCTGAAATCATGTGTGAAGTCTCACTGAGCACTCTCCCTACCCACCTGGGGGTGGAAGCCCGTACCCACAAATAAATGTTGAAAAATGCATTCAATTGTACAAGCATTACTGCCCTTTCTTTCTACTTCAACTTCTTCTAATAATATTGTAACGTGACAGGTTAGGCGAGGATGGAGACAAGAACACATGCTCTTTTAATAAAGTCAGTGCTTTATTAGTCAGACGGGTGTCCGGCTAAGCAACAACCACACAAGAACTAAGACCAGACAAAGCAGGTTACAACACACTGGGGTCATTTTGAGTACTGGTACGTGAGTATAGGGTGGAAAGTATGCACAAGTATAAAAGATAAGATAAGATCACTTTATTAGCTATACTGTATACAATTTCTTGTATTAGGAATTTGTCTTTTTCACATAATGTACCCCAGCTTGCTCTCTATGAGAGACATAGACACACAGACAGAGAGAAGCTTGGGGTCAGACTGCAGGGTCAGCCATTGTACAGTGCCCCTGGTGTGGTTGCTCAGGAGCCCAATCGAGTACGATTCCTCTGCTGGCTGCAGGATTTGAACTGGCAACCTTTCAGCCACAGGTGCAGATCCTTATCCACAGAGCCACCACTCCACCCCTAAAAGGGGTGCAAAACTAGGATATAAATATTTTACAGTTATCTGGGCAACCACACACAGTGTACAGCCATTCCTGGATAGTCAGCAGTGCTGGCAAGAGGCTCCTTAGTCCCCATCGTGGCTCTTATTCCCGTCCTGCCCTTTACCACATACTAAAGCCGGGCGCTCTTCGGCCGCAACACCAGGCGAGGGCGCCACACTGCCCCCAACTGAGACGTCTGGCATCCCGCCGACGTCCAGTTAACCAGCTACATTACACATGAAATCCTCCAGGCACAGCGTGGCGAGTCCAGCGGTCCGCCTTCTCGTCCCCCTGTGGGCTGGTGAAATCTGGACCTGGCTTCTCTTTGGGTTCCTCCGCGCCCTCCCGTTCAAGCGCCCCCTTGTGAGCCCTGAAGGGAGCCAGGCAGTCTTGGTGCAGGACCACCACCCTCACTCGCTTCCCAAACCAGACACGGTAGCAGACATCCCCCACGACCTCCAGGACCTCCCCCAGGTTCCTCTCACGCCTGATTGTAGACCCAGAAGAGGTCCCACGGTCTGAAGATTGTAGTACCGATTCTGTCGTACCCCAGTCGCTCATGCGGTTTCGGGCGAAGCTGTGTATCTGCAGCATCCACTGCTGCAGGTCCCACTCATAATCCGGCCCAGCATGAGCCAGGCCAGGGTGGACCTGGTGGACTCCTGCACAGCGGTCTGGTACGCCTAAAGGTTGAGAGGTAAATGGCAGTCCCAGTCCCGCTGGTGACGCGAGACCAGGGTGACCAGTTGAGTGGAGAGTGTCCGGTTAAAATGCTCCACCAACCCGTCGCTCTGGGGGTGCAGTGGGGTGGTCCGTGTTTTCTTAATCCCCTGGTGGTGGCACACCCCTGCGAACACCTGGGACTCGAAGTCCTGCCCTTGGTCACTGTGGTCACTGTGGTTCAACAAGGCCTCGGCCATGGCAGTCGCGCTCTGATCTGGGAGGGCATGAGCCTTGGGCAGCTTCGTAAAATAATCCATGGCCACCAGGACGTAGAGGTTGCCCGCTTGCTTCCACCCCGCTGTGGGTGGCCTCTTCATGCTTCTCACACCAGGCGCAGTAGTGGCAGTCCACTGCCTCGCAGGGGCGCCGCGAGAGATCGTCTGCGTTTGGTGGCGAGACCCTGCACGGTTCACGACCACGCCACGGTATGGGGTGTCGGCCAGTTGCACACCGTGGCGACTTTCCCTGGGTCCGTGGCCAACCACATGCCCCAGGAAAGTAACCTCCCGGCTCAGGAGCTTGCATTTCCTGGGGTTAAGCTTCTGCTTCCCACTCTGGTCAGCCCGCATACCCCGGACACCCCCCGCCTCATCTCCTGCAAGACAGATCCATTACCCCTGCCCCACCATCTCCCACCAGCCAAAATCTAGGCAGCCACCCCACCTGCTGCAACCAGTCCAACCCCAGGATGTGGTCCTCACGGATTGGTGCGAGATAAAAAGGGGTGTTGCTGAGGACCTCTGCACAATGTCCCGTCACTGTACTCAGGCACGGGCTGGTGGTCTCCCATCCTGGAGACAGGGGGATAGTTGAGCTGGTGTCGATCAGGGCCTGGCCGTGCCGGCCCTCGAATAGGCAGGAGAGGAACAAACCCCGGCCGTGGCCAATCCTTCCCATGGTGGCATGCGGAATGTAGCACTCCTCCTCAAACACAGGTCCCCACTGGTCCAACGTCCCTTTCTCGCTACTTCAGAACTGCAGAACTGGGGTATAACTATTTTACAGTTATCTGGGCAACCTCACACAGTGTACAGCCATTCCAGATAGTCAGTTGCACTGGCCAAAGGCTTTTTAGTCCTCGCCCTGGCTGTTATTCCTGACCTGCCCTTCACCGTGCATTTCAGCCAGGCACTCTTCGGCCGCAACGCCAGGCAAGGGCACCACAATATAAAAAGTATTTTTTGTATGTAAATCTAACCCAAATGCACAGCACATACAGTAGGTGTATACTACATACATATATACTGTAAAAGTCTTGTCACCTCAGCACTTGCTGACCACCACCTTGGTGGTGTAGAAAAAAAGCAATTCGTAAAAAGTAATTGCTCACATGATTTGAAATTGCAGCAATGATCTAATTACATTTAGCAATCTTATACAAATGAGCCTGATGTTAATAGATATGTGGAGCTGTTAATGTGTAATATGGTACAAAGTATTTATTTGACCACATACTTTATAAGCCTTTGACACTTTTAGAGTTTGATAATGTCTTTTTTTTAGATGGACCAAATTATTAATTTGTTATTAATTTGTCAATATGTCCCTGTGCACTATTCCCACTGATGTAAATATAAATTGAAAAAACAGAGTTAATGCTAAGACTGGTGCAGTTCGCTTTATATCCCTGCTCAGACAGACGCTCAAAAAAAGCACACTTATATGCCCCCACTCAAGATGGCCGCCACACAGACATAGTCCCAAAGTTCGAGGTCACATGATAAACCTTCCGGCCTGCATATATTATAATTAGTCAGAAAAAAAGGTTGCTTTTACACGAGTGTGACTGACTTCCTGAGCTAAGATTGAGTTAGAGGCAGAAGAGAGACGCAAGCTCTCTAACACAACAAAACAAAACAATCTGATCAATATACCAACAATTGTGAAAGCGTTGTGTTTTTTTTACATCTGTAAACGCCGGAGAAGCAAAAGCATGGATTATTCGGTAAGTGTATGAACTGACAAGTGACTTTTTATGCATTATTTCCTTTTTGAAATATTTAGCGAAAAACCAAGAACATTCATTGAACAGACAAAGAAGCAGTGTGACGGAGGAAACAGTCAATTTTGTTCTCTGTTGTCGTAAATGTCGACATATTTAGGATGAATTTACAAGGTCGTCTTTGAGTCGGGTATTCAAATATCTTGCAACACCCTTGTTGTTGCCATAGTGCACTTTATTTCGTTATACAATGCACGAACCAGCTGTACTTTAAAGGGAACTTAACATTTTACATTTTCTCTGTAACTATGATACTGTAATTTTTTGTAAGCGTGGAAGGTTGTTTTCTGTAATGTCTGTCTTAGGTAAAATAATGTATGGGAATAAACGGCTTTTATTTTTAACACAAAACGACTAGAGGCTTCTTCAGTAACATTTTGAGGAGGGTAACCGATGACAAATGTTAGACTCTCATAGTGAGTCTTGTAAGAACTTGTATGGAAAACTTTGAGAACCAGACGTCAGCATTCACATATCCGCCTGTGATTTATTTGTTAATTTATGCCTGAATTTACCATCCAAGCTTTCCCTCATAAAAGGGGAAAAATATAATTCCCTAAATAAAGCCACTTAAAAGGAACAGTGCCTGTGTACTGTTAAGGACTACTCCGACAGGAAAGGTGGTAGGAAGTTTTTTTGTGCGTTATTGTTCATCAGATCACTTTGTGAGACGCCTTATTTTTCCACTCCCATCCTAATGCTTGTTCAAAGACTTCTTGGGTTAGTCTGGTAAGGTCTCTGACGGCAGCAGGATGCAAGCGAGCATTGTACTGCAGAGACTGTACAGATACAGTATATCTCATCACCTCGTCATCTCATACAAAAAATTGAATTTACTCTTTAGTTATACGGAATGTAAAAGAATTGACCCTTTGCAAGGACGAAGCCAGTGCGTGGAATTGTTTCAGTAACTTACATCGCTTAAATCATTTGTTGCATATTACGTGTAAACAGTTTAAGTACATGAAGGTACAGCATTAAGAGTGCTTCTGTAAAACATACTGTATGCGGTTTTTGTTAAGTGAACGTCCCAAAAAGTGGCATTCTTACAAAAACAGAGAAAAACGCTTATGAAAGATGAGCACAGTTTAGAAAAGAAAGCGTGTGCACTTAAGTGTTTGAATTGAAAGACAGTACTGAAGGTAAGGTAGTTAATAATTTACTGATGTCTACTGACTGAGCCCAGTTGAATTACATCTCCTTCTGGACTTAAGTGCAAGCTTTCATCATGATGGATCGAATAAAACGTATGTAGGGACAACTAGATTAAATCTTCATTTGTTTTTCCTTGTTTGATAAAGCAACATTTTTCAATGTAATGGGTTTGGGATTGTCACTGATGCTAACTAGTGGCCCTTGGATGAGCTTATTATTTGATTACTTGTTTCTCTAAAAGTACTTGCTCTCAAAAATACTCTACTTTAGGTGTTTTGTTCCAACCACTTCGGCATACAGCATTTTCTGCAATCTCTCCTTAACTTGATTATTAAAAGTTGGCACATTTATTTATATGCCAACTTGTCTGTTATGTCTTAAAATAAAATATGTATGAAACAGTCCCACAATTAGCTTTTTTTCTTTCTTAAGTGAACAAATTGGTAACATTTCAGCTAACATGTCTGAATAAGGAAAGTTAGGAAACTCAAGAGATTGGAAGAGGGTTAATACCAATTACAGATCATATTCAATCTTTCAAGAGCTGGAAACAATTCAAAAACATACCACAGTTAAGTTAAAACGGATAGCCTGTGTTAAGAAGTCATCTGAAAAAAAAACTAATATATACGCAGGATTTCCCCTAGGCTTCAGTATATGTACAGTAGGTGTCTGAGGTTTGTGTACCTAAAAGTGAAACTGCTCTGCATCAACATTTGGCTAATTCCTGTCCTCTCTAAATGGCTTTGGCTTTCTGTAAAAGTAGCATTAAAACATTAAAGTTATTTTAAGGACTTACTGAATCAGTATTCTCAGGCTCTTGATGTGAGATGTGCTGTTTCCGGCTTTATTTTGCCGAAGACCAGGCACTGTGCAATGGGTGAGTAAGCCTTCTCATGTGTAGCACCAGGTCTGTGGAAATTGCTGAGCTTAGACGCTCTATGACTGTAGGTATTTTTCAAGTTCAAGTTTATTGTCATTCTACTGGTATACTGGTATATGGTATAACGAAATGGTATTTAGCTAGCTCTCAGACGGTAAGAAGTACCAAAAAACAATAATACAATTGTATAAGAAAAGAAAGACAGAGACAACAGGCAATGTGCAAAACAACACCAGGTAACAGGTAATGTTCAAAACAACATCGGATGTGCAAAATCATACATCAACAGAATGAAATAAAGGCTAGAAAATTATGGGGAGTGAGCTTCTTGACATTTGAGGTAGAGGTAGATTTCAATGTGTGTTTGAGTTTTGGTAAAGAGAGAAGGCACTGTGAGGTTCAGGTCGTAGGTGAGAGAGGCTGGGAGTTTAATAGTTTGATAGTGCGGAGGTAAAAACTGTCTCTGAGTCCGGTAGGCTGGGCCTGAATGCTCTAATGTTCTTGTCTCCCACTTCAGTGCAGATAGTGAAATAGTAAAAACAAATATTTCACTGTGGGGCATTCACCATCAGTGTCAAAGTGTACCCAGTAAAGAACTGGTTAGAGTGCAGTGTGCTGCTTCCCTACCCACTGTTTACTGTCCTGATCATGAAATATTCATCCGTGTGTTCCAAAGCCAGACCGAACATCAGAGATGACCTGGTCTGAGTGGCCAACCAACAATATTTGTGGATAGCAGAATCCATAACATCTTGAAGCCATGGAAGAAAACTCACCCCCCCACCCCTGAAATGTGTTTTGTGGTACTTCACATATTCATATTACTGTGCTGTATAAAGCAGGTCTGGAATTTTCCCTCACACAAAGCCCACGTTGTTTTCAAATATGTTTCAGTTGGGATGATTTAGGGCTGTAAATTCTGGGACACCAAAATGTTACTGAAATTCAAAAGTAATACTTATTCATGCACACAGTATATTAGCCTTTGGTTAATCAAGAGATAGCCTCTTTTTAGTTTAGTTTTTGTAAGGGACTCTTTTTTTAACATTTGAATAATTTGCAACCTGCGGTGTCATTAAGAATGGAAAAGTAATTGTTTCGAGAAAACAAACACGAACGTGGAATCCATTGGAAAATGATTCAAGGTATCCACCTTCTTTATTCTGTAACCAGTGAATTGTTTTTTTACTTCTTTTACCAAACAGATTTAATTTGAAGTTCAATGAACAAGCTTTGATTGTTGGGGAAAAAAACAGTAGGCTAGGAAACCTTTGTGCAATTTAGTTATCAACCTTTTAAGGCATTGTGTATTCGTATTTATTGTAACTGTGTGGTAGAATATTAGCATTGTAATGGAAGTTACATTTTTGTTTTGTTAGCAGCATCCTTGAAAATTAAACTGCATGTTTTTTAGAGTCTTGATACTTAGTAGCATTTAAACTGTAATCTTTTACTATTTATGGTCAAGGATTGAAGTGAAAGGCCTTTGTTCTCAAGTCATTATAATGTGGTAAGTACTGTCTTGGTGCCTTGCAGTGGTCATACTTTCACAGAAGACCAGGGTCAGAACTTTCAGGTGACGTGCCTAAGAGGTTCAAATGAAAGGAGGCCATTTGGCCTATCTGACCTATCCAGCAGCGATATCACCCTGCAACTCACAACTGGCAGCCCACTGTAGCTAAGCACGTGTGAGCCTGGTCAGTACCTGGATGGGAGACCTCCTAAGCTAAGGCTGCTGCTGGAAGAGGTGTTAGTGGAGCCAGAAGGGGGCGCTCACCCTGCGGTCCATGTGGGTCCTAATGCCCCAGTGTAGTGATGGGGTCACTTTATTGTTAATAGGCGCCGTCCTACGGATGAGACGTAAAACCGAGGTCCTGACTCTGTGGTCAGTAAAAATCCCAGGGTTTCTCAAAAAGAGTAGGGGTCACCCCGGTGTCTTGGCCAAATTTCCCATTGGCCGTTACCAATCATGGCCTCCTAATAATCCACATCTATGAACTGGCTTCATTACTCTGCTCTCCTCCCACTGATAGCTGATGTGTGGTGAGCGTTCTTGTGCAATATGGCTGCCATCGCATCATCCAGGTGGGGCTGCACACTGGTGGTGGTGGAGGGGAGTCCCCATTACCTGTAAAACGCTTTGAGTGGAGTTTCCAGAAAAGTGCTATATAAGTGTTAGCAATTATTATTATTATTTTTATTTTGTTAGTGTCTTATTAATCCACGGATCTCATCCAGCTGTTTCTTGAAGGAAACTAGGGTTTAGACTACAACCACATGGCTTAGTTCTACACTCCCACAACCGTTTGAATAAAGTAGGGCCCCCTGTTCTTTGTTTTAAATGCACTTTTTTTTAAGATTAAGATGTATTAGTAATAAATAAATACTGGTACACAAAATATGATGAGACAGTCTATGAAGAACTTTTGAATAAAGTTTTGTGAGACATGTTGCAAAATCTGTACGTTTCATTAGAAACTTGCATGAAACAAAATTAGTCCCAAGCTGTGAAAGTTCAGAATGTTTTTGATGGATTGAAATCTGTTTATTCAGAAGAGTTTGAACTTTGTGGGATTTTGGCCTAGTGACTGCAGAAAAGACCTTGGCAAGCTTGCTTATGATAATAGATGGGATACTGAGAGTAATTTAGTATGTGGTGTTTCTTTTTTATCAGAGTCGTACTGTCCGCAATATAAAAGGATTTTATGAATCTCTAATTAGTGAAGCCCTTACTTAGACCAGCATTTTTATGACTTGGTAGGGAAAAGCTATTGGGTTTAAATAAAAAAAAACTTTTTTTCTGTTGCACTGCAAATTTAAGAAGACACAGGGGCAAAAATATTTTGGGAGGTTTTTGCCTGAATACCAGATACCCAATTATATGCTTCCCTAAGATTTTGCCTGTATTCTGACAACGCCCTTTCAAGGCCTCAGTATTTATATTCTTTGTAGTTTTTGTTCATTCCCAGAGGCACCCTTCCCTTGTGCTGACTAGAAAGTTGATCATGCTAGCTGATTATTGTTATGTGAACAATGACTATTGTTCACTGCTGGTCTAATCTGAGACTGTTGCTGTGGAGAAGGAAAAAAAGAACCTGCTCAAGCCGGAGTAATGTAATGCAGACCAGCTTCTGATCTTTTTCACCATTAGCAAACTTGTCGGTTAACAACTCCAACAACTCCAACAGTCTAACTCAGAAACATTGTTGAAACACATCAGGTTTTGTTCTGTTGACGCCCCTGTGTATTGAAAATCTCTTAAAAATATCTGCATGACATAATAGGGACAATGGGAAGTTCTGTTAGTAAACATTTAAAAGTGTGAAGCTTTTGTTGTTTTTAGTTTTTGTCTAGGAAACGATGGTTATGTGTTGCAACTTGTTGAGACGTGAAAGGCTACATTGTAAACTACATAGTTTACTATTGCTAGATAGGCTACATACTGTAGTAAACTTTGATCCCAGTTTTATGGCTTACAAAATTCTCAGTTTTTATCAGCTGCAAACTGAGAAGAGGGATCTTACATGGAATCACGGATTAGAAGACTGACATAATTTTAAGTTTGACTTTTGTTCCCCCAAGCTCATGCAAAATGCTGGATTCATTTCCTACCTGTCTATATGTTGTTTTCCCAAAAAAGTTTAACTTGCAAAATTGTTGGTTTTGAGGGAAGTAACTCTTTACTGGTTAGATGCCTTTTTGTCATCAACCGCTAATGATAAGCAAAATGTTATTTGAACAATTTATCTCCTGAAAGACGGGATAAAGTCCATTTCACAGGGACACATCTAAGCTTGACCTTTGAGCTTCTTTGAGTCTTATTCAGTCAGCATTTTGTATACAAAAAATATTTCATCAATAGTTTGAGTTTGAGTTGAGTTTGAGTTGTGTATGCAGCTGATATATAGTTATATTTGTGTGGTATCAGTGTGATTCCCAGAAGTGCATATGACTGTCGAACAGGGACTAATGCAGTCTGTTGTGTATGTTTAGAGTTTTACTTTGAAACCCATTACACAGACACATTAGTCACTCTACTGTCTGTGTCTGTACTCAGTCTAATTTTGCGTATCTGATGCAATATTTATTACACAGATAAAAGCTCTCTACTGTAGAGGCATTTCAACAGTTTTCAGAACCCATTATGAAACATCTCATAAAATTATTGGATCAATAAACGTCTAGCTCACCACAATGAGAAAAATGTGCAAAATACTGTAGCCTTCTCTTGTTGGGAATGCATAATTTACCCATTTGTCATATAGAGTACAGACAAAAGTGTGTGTATATAATCTTCTAAACATTAATTTCAGGTATATTCCTAGTGCTATTGCTAACCGTGTTCTGAAGTGCTGCCCCTTTTGGCAATATAAGTTTAATTCTGTTTCCTGTCAGGAATATTTTAGGTACCATACATTTATTTGTTCAAAATGTGTTGGAAGTTTTTAAAAGTGTTCATCTTTGTAACCATATCACTTATATGGAACCTGTCAGAACAGAGAAGGGGGCAACAAGGACTGCTCACTGTGGTTCAGATCAAGTCTTTGATCTCACTTAAAATCGAGGTGTGTTTTATAAGTGTTGTATGTTCTCTGAGTTTAAAGGTACAATTAGATCTCCACTTGCAGCATCCAGTCTACTCAACTGGGCCAATATGTGAATACATCTTTAATATACTAGTTTTTAAAATCTGCCCTCCTGTCCCAGAGACTCTCTTATGTGTTTCCTCTTCATTTAATGCTTTTCGCCCTGTAACTCTTATTTGCTTTGACCTCTGCCTGCTAGTCTGTCACTAGGAATTTTTTTCCATGGATTTGATAGATGAAGTGGATTAGAAAATCAGCATTGTTGATACTGGGCCTTTTATCAGTTAAGTAACCATATTTAATTTCCCCTCACAGTGGGGGAAAACAGTATCTTGCTCCACTTTTAGCATTCTATGAGAGAACTCAGTGAACATAAGCTCTAAACTAGAAATCCTCATAAAAAAATACATCCATTAGTATTTCTAAATTATGGATGAGTCTTCAGTTGAAACTCCTACTATATAGTGCTTTTGAAATTTTTATAGTTGTAAATTTAATGTATTTGGACATTATTTTTGAAACTTACATTTTGTGACATGTAACATAAGCATATTGTACCTGTTTTTTCTCTGTTTAAATGCAAGTGTCTATATCTGCCATCTGCTTCCTCACATATAATAAACTTTGTTGTATAGACATTGATCAGGATGTCTTGAGCATGCAGATGAGTGTATCCTCTTAAGAAAGCTACTGTATAGGTTCCACATCTGGTAAGGTTGGGTGTTTCCTGATAAATAGACCTTAAGTACTTCCATATGTTTATAGTAAAGGTTTAGAAACCACTCACAAATGGGGATAAAACCAGTCTGTATTTAATTGTTTTGACCTTGCCTGATTTCTGCTTTGTTATATAAGAATTGCCTCTTTTACTCATAATTGATTAATATTGCCAACGTCCACTTACTTTTCTTGATAGGTGTCTTCAGCTGCTTACTTTGGTTTAAATATAGTCTTAGTTGATGTTTGTCCTTTGCTGTGACTTGTGCCGCAGTTGAAATGAAGGTCAGTTACAACAAGAGCAAGAGACTTAATTAACAAATGACTGCACTGCACCGATGGGCCCCATTCAAGGCAGTTGCTAAATGTTATATGCAAACATCCCATTTATAAACTTTCTGAGATATATTAATGAATTAACTTGAGTGGTGTCTGTTTTTAATTACTTTGTAGATCCACAAAGTTTGCACTTGTAGATCACTATAAATGTAGCCTACACATGAATGTACAAACTGAGTGTTTGTGTTTATATACATGGATGTTGCATTCTAAATGTAATGTGATTTGAAAGCCATAAGGAATGCAACTTTTAACAATATAGGGTTAGCTTGGAAGGTATTTGGCAGGCTGTGAAATTAATTGGGTGTTAGTTTAATCTAGACTGTGAATCATGATTCTTAAATTATCTAAACAATAATATCAACAATATCTAATGTCATTTTGTATGCTTGCTTGGTAAATTTGAAACTATTCTTATCTGGGGTATTTGGATGTTATCTTTCTTGTTACATATCACACTGTGCAAGGATAAAGGTTATTCCAAACATTGTATGGATCCAGTGTAGGCAAACCACCTTTTTGTTGATAGAATCAACATTTTACTGGTGAAAAGCAATATTATGAGCTTAAGTGAATGCATTTCTTGTTATTGTAAGACTGTTTTACACTATACAAATATTGTAAATGCCGACTACTTTTTCTGTTTAACCCCGGTCTCATGTATGAACACATTACAATTGTCATATTGCAAGTAACGCATACATTGTCGTATGTGTGTGCAATAAATACAGTGGATGTACTTAAGATGTGAAACAACTGTAAAGTCAACCCTTTCCCTAACCCTTCCTTGAAAATAGTTTTCAGGTGCACATCAAGATTGGTGTCATTTTTTTCCATCTTTTTGAGCTACTGAATTCCTCTTTGTGTTGTTTTCGATAGTGTTTTTCTAGATCGCACTGTAACATCTGAAGGAAAATACCACTCTTGATAAAATTTTAAATAACATTTTTTAAAGCATTTATTCAATTTTTCAAATAAAAAAATGTATTCAGTAACTGCTGACAGGAAACCTCCTAAGATGGTGGAAATGAGTATTTAAAGAATCGTAATATTATGTGATTTGATTGCCATGTTAAGCAATGAATTCCATTGAAAAGTTTCCACAAAAGCTAGCCTGTGTCAGGCGCAGGTCCCTGTCATGTTTGCGGCTGTGTCTGAAGAACTATACACTAGGGCCATAAGAAAGATGGAGTGCATTAATTTAAATGTTTCAATACCCCTTACGTTTTTCCAGACTGCCTTGGAAGTGTATAAAGAAATGATTCTGATGTATCTGGAAGAAGGCCGGAAGTTTGTGAATACAAAGTGCGAAGGGCTGGAAGCTTGGCAGATCATCGGGGTGACAGTTGGCTCTACTCTGCTGGCAGTGTGGCTCCACGGATTCCTCTTTCAGCAGGAGAGTGAGTACAGAGGTCACACTTGGTTTGGAATAAGGAGTAGTTTTCTAAAGATATATTGTGGCTCCTGGGGATTGCTTTAAAGTGAGCTGTTCAGTTGCCTAAAATATTTACTTTTGATCTATTGACAAAAATATTTTCAATAATTAATGTTGATTTCATGAATATTCTCCATTTTAGAATCCAGGATGATGAATGAGAAAAAAATGCGTTATAACCAACTCTGCGTGTTCTGTTGCATTCTTTAGCATGCATGTGCCAAGTTTGTTTTTTTTTCCCCAGTGTTTAATCATAGACTCCAGTATAGCAAATGTATGTTTTCTGTTCTGTGGGAATTGTCGGTGCTTTATAATTGGAAATGCTTCTGTTTCCGTGCAAAAACCAACAACACAGAGGTTCTTGGTAACATTCATAGATCTCCCTTAATGATTCATAGATGCACACATCTTTAATGTGAAAATATGCAAAAGATTTCAGTAAGGCCTGCTCTTGGGGGTAGATTTGCTCTAGACAATGTGCAGCTTAACATCCGATATAGTCGGGTTAATTGTGTTAATGAAAAAGTAATTTTGTCACCTTCTAGGCTTATGTCATCAGAACTCAGGCAGGGCTGGGATGGATAAAAGTGATGTTGGGCCAGTTGGAGGCATTCTTTTCCAAAGTTTCCAAACCAGTGTACATGGTGTATTGTTGTGTATCCAATTAGCATGGTGACAGAGGAGCACTGTGCTGTGGAGATGCTGTCCTTTGGCTGAAATGTTAAACCATGGTCCAGACTGCCTGAATGTTAGAGATTCCGTAGTACAGTTCATAAGAGAAAGATGTCAAGGCTGGTGTCCTGGCTAAGTTTCACTCTGGTCTTGTACTGCCTGGCCAACCTAAAGTGCCCCTTAATTCAGGTGGTAAAGCACTTTCTTCCTTCACCTGATCTACATGTCACCCAGGTGGTACAGCACTACAGTGGTGAATGAAGTGGTTCTGCTACTTCTGAGATCCTTCAGAATAAAAAGTTCTATGTCAATGTGAGGAATTATATTTGATAATCAAAATATGTATAACTCTTACTTGATATTTTTGATGATAATTGATTATATTGTTTGGTTTTTACCACTTCTTAAGCCCACACTTCTTCATTAACAGAGTTTTCTCTAATAGATATAATGTATGTAATAATTTTTTTCAGTTTCATACATAAATTAGTGGATGTATTTAAAGAATGAAGTTCATTTTAATATGGGACCTGTATATGTTTTATACAGAAACAAAGTTAATCAAATAATTAAATTAAGCAGGTCTGGAAGGATACAAACAAGCTGTACACTTACTGTAACCTTGGAAAGAGTTTAATGTTGCTATAAAATTTTTCCTGACTAAGGACAGGTCTGGAAACTAGTATTCGACATTGTGTTGGTCTCAGAAATCAAATTCCAAGGGTTGTGTTTTAATGGAAGAATGCATATAATTTTGCACAATATCCCTAATTTTTTAATATTAAATAAGTCATAAGCTGGTGACTAGAGCAATATTTGACAATCTTTTCAAAGTGTGAAGATTAAGTCACCAAGATCTTTGATCTGCATTAAATTGTTGATGTTCTTCAAGCTACAGTATATGGTAGCTGTTAGTCTTGGTGTTTACATAGATGAGTATATTGAAGATTGGCACAGCACTGAAATATTGTACCATAAAATAACGGTTATGTTATTACTGTTATTGAAGAAAACACTAGTTTGGAAATTTGGCTCATCTTTTGATATGATTGCCAAGTTTTGAAAGTTCACACAGGTGAAGGCTAAATTTGTTACTCCAAGATGCTTTGGAAATCTGTGCTTTTGTTTCATGTATTTTTATCCTATATTTAACGTCTGCATTTTTAAGTTACTCTTATCAGGTCATTTTGTTTAATATTTCCTACCATGTATCCTGCTGTATTTTTCTTTAAGAAGTATTTGTCTGAATGAACCCAAATGTTAAGGAATTGTAATGCAGTATATCTATTTAGGTTTCCAATTCATATATTGGAGACATTGATTATATTTCTTTTGTTCTGTCTGCCATGAGAACATGTTTATTAAGATTATTAACTGTAATGCTGATAGTTTTAGATAAAAAATTGTGTATAGCATATATCAAGTTCAACTAGATGTTAGATTTTTTTTAAATCATTACATGAGCTTTTATCAGGTGCATGCAATTATATATCTATTCTTTAAACTAGCTTCTAAAGGGATAAAGGTTGGTTTTATTGTGGTGTTAGTCACGTGAATGATCTTGACTTTTAGATAAATGTTTTCAAATTAATGATTCACTTTTCTTTGCTTTGCAGGCTTGACATCAAGAGTAAAAAAGCAGTGTTTTAGGATTATAAGAAAAATTCCTTTTGTTGGGGCCACAGTATGTTTATTTAAAATCTTCCTATAAATTTTCTTTAAAATATTTCTCATTAATTCTGTATCTTGCCTATATATCATTCTTATGTTTTTCCATAAAATATGTTTATTCCTTAATATGCATGGAAAATAATTTTAACACATAAATAATTAACAGAGCATGATAAAAGAATAAATATATACAGAATAGACTGCTAATAAATTAATAATACATTATAATGATATATTCGTAGTTCACAAAAATCAGTTGCAACATTAAGTACAGCACAAAATATCCCTTTTATTCTCTACAGTTTATTTACCCTGGAGTGTTAATATACTTTATGACCTTTGCTGTAGCATTTACCTAAAGGTCTGCTTTTATACTGAAAATCAAGCCTTCAACATCTTCACGTGCAAAAAGATGAATTATTCAATTTGTAAAAGCCTGAGGAAGATGACTGTGACTCATCTGTTTCTTGTCTGAGATCTGAAACTCCTGCAGCAGACAGTTGAGCAAGCAGAGTACTGCAATAAGCATAAGTTAACTCCAGGTCATTATCTTGTAGTAACCTTCAATATACTGGAAGGCGTTTTATATATGTTATGTTTTTACCAGTAGACTTCAGCATCTCATTCTGTCTTGATGTAGTGAATTTGTTTTTTCTCTAATATGTACAGTATGTTTGCATGTCCAAATTTAGTCGACTGCTTTACCATTAGATTTGAAAGTACAGGTCTAACTGTCACTTACCACTGCACTGCATAATGATGTGTGTCCAAAGTCCTCATGTCTCATTTCATCTAAAAAGGTGTGACTCTGTTTTTTTTACATTCTAATTATGCATGTTTTTTTTTTAATTAAGGCTAATACTAATTATTGAAAGAGAAGTTGGTTCTTTGATGCATTGTCCTCTTTGATGGTGTTCAGCGTGCTCTGTTTGTTTCCAGATCCAGAGTCAGCTGAACAAGGCTCTGGATGACATGGCTTCCAGCTTGTTCACCCTGAAGGAAGGAATGAGTTACACCCACTCCCTACCCTCCCAGGGGCTCACTCAAACACAGGTGCTGGAGAAGCTCAAAGAGTACAGTGCACTGGGTGAGTGCTGCTCTCGCAGGTTGCTTTGGCCTCTTTGCAAAGTTTAAGCATGGGTCTGGTGTTCAGATTTAAGCCATTAATGTTAAAGTGCAAAGAAAGCCCCCATGAAAAATGTCAGTATTTTGTTTAGGTGATCTATTACATTTTGAAATGGTGTGCCTTTAACATTGTTGTGTAGTTTATATGAGGGTTAAAAAGTTACCAAAAGGAGGGATAGTGGTAGGAAAGTCTATTTTCTAAAAAACAATCATTACTTTGGTTTTCTGGAAATTTGAAATACAGAATGTTTATTTTTTTATTTTTAAGATGTCTTTGTATTGCAAAAAAAAAAGATGAGTCTGAACTTTAGAACTTGCTAAAACCATAAAGTTTAATTTACTGTATACAGAAAAATAATGTAATGTAGATTCTTAGTACAGTATGTAGTTTGATTTATGTTGATTTGCTTGCACGTATTCTTTAAGCCTTAATTTTAAAAGAGGATTTTATTAGCTGTGGCATGGGACAATGGGGTTGATAAACGTAGTCTGACATGACTTCTGAATCTGTGTAGGAGATGTCCGGTGGGAGGAAGGCTGTGTTTCGGGAACTGTGTACAGTGGAGACGAGAAGCTTACAAATCTCCTTGTGAAGGTGAGCAGATCCAAGAGTTCCTGCCAGTGAGGGAGGAAAAGCACCTTTCACTAAGCCTCTGGGTGAAGGTGTTCTCTGAAGCAACCTTTTGAGGTTTTTATATACTGTAATACTGTATGTTTATGTTCCAAAATTAATATTGTTTATGGTCTTCACACGCGTTATGCTCCTATTCTTTTTATGCTTAGCTACTAAGATTTCCCTTCAGTGGTAAATATAAATATTCAATACTTAAACGGGCACAATTAAGACATTAAATATACATATACATACTGTATACAGTACAGTTTGCATACAGTAATATGTTTATGTTCCTAAATCAATCAATTTTATGAGCATGTGAAACGCATGGTGAATCGGAGATTCTCAAAAATTACTGTACTTTGCATGATTGGAAACAAATGCGTGATTGGATCAACGAAATGCTGTAGTGTTACTTTTACAAAGACGGTCAATGAAAAAAAGAATGTGGACCAGGGCAATGCTTTGAGTTTACAGCTTGTCCAAGGTCATTCATTATAAGTACTATTAGTAATATCTTCGGTTAAGACTTTGATGGCGACAGCTCAGACATGAGAGGTTGAGCTTTATTAGCTCCACCTTGCGGAAATTCCGGATACTATTATTTTACCTCCGTTATCATGCGGTATCGTGCAGTTCTATGCGAGAATATACGGTATTAATACAGTAATGTGCGGTATACCGCATCAAGCGCACCGCAGAATAATGCGGTATCGCCTGCTTGTTTTGAATGGCTGCATCTGTATATGTTGTGAAAAACAGTCCTGTCACTGGAAAGAAGACAACCACCACTGGCCATGACTAGACTTGCGCTATTGAAACTATACCAACAGCAGCTCTATTATAGCTTATTAATGTAGTTTCGTTATAGATGAGTTTAATGAGGCTGTAGGTGATTGTTTCTTTATGCTGACTATTACTGGGGGCAGGGAAAAGTGCTTAGAGTCTGAACCAATTATGTTCAAATCCTAAGTAGGACCCTGTTGTACCCTTGAAAAAGTACATCCCTTTTATTGATCCAATAAAATATCTGTTTAAATGGGTACGAATCTAAAAATCATTGGATAAACATGTCAGCCAAATAACTAAATTTGGATCATTGATGCAAATGACAAGTAACACAGTCATAAATATTTTTTGTCGGCTGTTATACGCACTAATAAGTAGGTAAATGTTGGTAAAGTAATTTGACTAAATTCATTGTTTAACCTTTTAGCAATGAGTGTTTTTGTAGATATTCTGCCATTAGGCTTATTTTAAGTAGACGTTTCCCCTTAAATTGTCATATTTCTGTTATTTAAATACAAACATAAATAGGTTCATAAATACCCATGATGTTTTTTGCTCTGTCTAAATATGGAGCCATATAAAAATCTGCTCTTATAAAATGCAAATAAAGTGGACATCTACTTTGGTGGATTGATGAAGCACTGTTGAAATACGTCACTCTTACTCCATCTCTGTGATTAAACCTATTGGATTAAGATTTTCAGTTTGTAGAACAAATAGTTTTAACACTAAGCTTTTTTAAAGGTCTATACTGTATGGATTACAATTTTTAAAATTGGTCCACTTCAATTCAAAATCAAGTCCATTGAAATGTAAAAGGCAAACTGAAAGAGTGTGTGCCAGAAGCTTTATGCCTGATAAGCATTTAGATTATCCAATAAGTATACTGTTTTGTTTGAAAATTACAGAGTTGGGTATAAATTATTTGATTTGCCTTATTTGTCTCTGATTTAATCTGCAATCAGTTACACTGTCCTCTGTATACTGGCATCAAATCGGACATCCATACGTTATGTTTGGTTCTACTCATTTGCTTTGTGGCTCCATCAGTTTAATCCGCTGATGGTTGTGTTTTCAGGTCTATGGGGAGTTTGCCTGGTCTAATCCTCTGCATCCGGATATTTTCCCTGGAGTGCGCAAGATGGAAGCAGAGGTGGTGCGGATGGCCTGTACTCTCTTCCACGGCGGTCCTCAGTCCTGCGGCACGGTTTGTGTTCCTGATTTCAGTTGTCACGGAAAACTCTGAAACCTGCTTTAAACTCAAAACAGATTAAGTACAGTTTATTTTGATTGAGGTTAAAGAAATAATAATGTGGTCTTCTTTCTGCCTGCCTCAACCCACTATTGCTGAATTTGTCAAGAAGTTAGATGCTCAGTTATTTAAGATAATTGGGATAAAACTCAGAAATAGATTTAATCTTGCGCTACTAAAAGTACTACATATAAACCTAGAAATGAGTATTTCATTTTTCTTCATTTAAGCAAATAATCAGAAGAGTCACCAGGAACGTGAAAAATAATCTTATGAATCATGTCTCAGTTCTTTTTTTATATTGTCTCATGTTTCTCCGTATAAATTCCAAACTCCAGGTTTTGTTTTGGTTTTTTCCCGATAGATTCTGTAAAGGCTATTTTGTTTTTTAGAATTATCCTCGTAAATGGATTTTATTTCGGTTTATTTCTTATCGTACATGTGACCTAAATGCCTGACTTTTTAGTAATGCTTGGATTTTCTGACTTGCTTTGGGGTAGATGTAGAATTTTGCAACAAAGATAACTTGTATTTGTTCTTGCCATTTTTATTTAATTTCTTACTTCATCATTATTTAGCAATTGGTAGCACAACAGTATTGGGAATGTGACCTGGTGCAAAGAATGCAGACTGCTCTTCATGATTCAGGGGAGAAAAATAATTAAATACAGCCTTGGACTTCTGAGCAACTGGTCACGCTGTCAGTAGATCAGCACATTTTATTCTTGTGTAATAGCCCAAACCAAATATTTCAAAATTGAACAAAACACGTAAAGTAGTGTGGCACAACATTTTCTGTCTGGTTGTAATTAGTTCCTCAAAATATTTCTTCTCAAGGCTGGTAAATATTTTCAACAGCACCATAATTGCATTTGTAGTGATAAGCCAGTTTCATGTTAATGTTTCATTTCCAAATTCATGTTTAAAATTAAAAATATAAGATCGTATTTTTTTTATTTATAGAATTTAGTATAATGGTTTAGCATTGGTCATGCGAATGAAGGGCTCTGCATATTCCTTGCTGCTAATGTAACACATTATAACTTTATATGTTGAACCAATTAGCTACAGTATTATTAACTTTAAGTATTATAAAGATTTGTGTAAGCTCCAGGTGTTTCAGAAAATCTGTAATATTAAATTGCATTATAGTGCTGTCCACCCCAAAGGATCCTAAAGTCTTTTCACTTATAGAAGGGCTACATTTGACTCATATCTGAAGTGTAGCTCCCACCTGGGTGACATGTGGCAGAAACCCAAGAACACAGCAAAACGGGTGAAGAGGAAAATTGCTTCTCCAGTTGAATTAAGGAGGAAATTTAGGCAGGTTAGATTGTGTAATCCCGACTTGGAATTTGGCCCAGACAATAAGGTCAACTCCCCAACTCTAATGAACAGCACAGCGTCCCCTGTCACCATACTTGAATATTGGCTTGCAAGGCTGGCCCTGGACCTTGGAAAGAGGCCCCTCCACATGCACTACTATTATCAGCTCCCAGCACAACCTTATTTCACTACTTAAAACAAAAAATCATAATAAAGGTTTTATAGTTACATCATTTAACCAGCTTTGAAGAACACATAATAACTTAAAAACCAAGAATATAAGGCACACATTTTACAAAGATTAAGTATTTTAACATTGAAAGTAATAAAAAAAATTAATAACAATAAATAATGATAAACAGGATCTTTTACTTCCAAATTGCAGCCATTTTTAAATTATAATTGGCTAAATTTAAACCTTGATAGAAAGGAAATGCAGAAATAAGTATGAAAATAAGTTTAAAAAAAAGTGTACCCAGTAACAAGGGAGGTGAGATCAGTAAGGCTACATTTTTATGAAAAACTTTCTATAAATCATTTTGCCTAGATTTTCAACCTCAGGTATGTTTTAATGACCTTGAGCTCTGAAAATCTTCTCCCTGCTCTTGCCGCTGTCACCGAGAGAGAACGCAGTCTGAAGTTCACAAAACTACAGTAGTTACAAAACTAAAATACAAGTTCATGAAATACAGGAGAAACCACAAGGAAAATGATACATTTTAATTCCGATTCAGTTTAAGCGCTGGACAGGCTTTTGTACTGTACAATTGCTTTCATGATTTTGTTTGACCAGGCAGTGCCGATTTTTATCCAGGCGACCCACACGGCAGGTGTACAATTTCCAGAAACTTGAATTTTCTAGAACGCAGTCTACATGTCTAGCTTGAAAATGTGTCATCTCTACCATTTGCTAGCGGATCTGACATTATTACACGTATTGTGCATTATTGCAAAGACTTGAATTGGCGTACTTCTGTTTTGAGATTGCTTATCCTGCTCTTCTTTTCTGTGCTTCAGAAACATTTTGCATTGATCATGCTGGGTCATTTTATTTTTTGACTATGCTTCCATTAGGGTAATCCACAGCAGCAGCAGAAAGAGCCTCTATAGGGTCTTTTTTGCTCACAGTTGAATGTGCCGAGGTTGTGTTGCACATTGAGGTGGCCCCAGGCAGTCTCTTAGTTAGGCTATGCCAGGGGCCGGCCTGTTGGTGTGGACATTCTGGTAAAGTGGGGAGATTGCCTCCTACTGGTCCAACAATACAACTTGTAGCAACTTAGTTAAGACCACAATAATACATACACCCAGCTCCTAATAGATAAAGCTACCTTTTGTTTTTAAGACAGTGTTATTAAATAAGATCTAATACTAGAAGCTGAGTAGAAATTAAGTTTAATATTCTCAGATTTAATTATTGTAGAAATCTGATTCCTAAATGGCCGATTTTCTGGGTTAATTTTATGTTTATGTAGGGATAATGAGGCTCAGCTCTGATTCCTTATGGCTATAATCAGGCAAGCTTTTTAGGTAGAATGCAAACCAGAACACCATGAGAACATGAGTTAAAACATGGATAAAAAAGCAGTTCAATGCCTTCTGTATATAAGAAAAAATGACAATTGTAAGAGGTAAAGATCCTGCAGGAGCTGTGAGAGATGGATTAGTGATGGACAGAGCACAACAGCACCAGGCACGGGTAATGAAGTATTTACAGGCTGTGATGTGTTTGTAAGTCATTATCAGTAGTTAAAACTAAAGTGTTAGGTGGATGAAGGACTCCTTAGCTTTGATATCTTGTAACTGCTATCTAAAAATGCTTAATTGAAACTTAAGCTGTGGAAAAATAATTCAGATTTAAAAGTTTGCAAAGAACAAATATTAATGTCATGTTTATAAAAGGTCCTTAAACAAGGCCATTCTGGGTTCTGGGAATAGACCACAGGGTTTGAGCAAATTCCTATTTCTGTCTGTATCAGATTGGGGAACTGAAGAATGCATATACTGTTGGTGCCCATAACTAGCTACTTTCACCATTTACATGCTTCCCAGTTCTCCAAGTTCTTATTGATAATTGTGGATGAAATTTAAAGTACACTCTTTTTAATTATTCAGTCATATTTTATTATCTCGCCCTTCACAACAATTTGTCTCGGAACACTTTACAGACAAGTAGTGAGTACCCTCATGAAGAGTTTCACCTCTGCATTAAAAATTCCTTGGCTTTGAGGGTTCACGATACAATCTTTAACAGTATGTCAGAAAGCCTTTTAATATGAGCTATTTATAAATCACAAAAGACTAACATGTTCAAAACATTCACGGAACTAACAATAATTTTGTGTTAGTAGTTTACTGACTCATACTGTAAGCTGTAGATTTTAAATGGGAGAACAATAGGAAGCTGGAATTTGCTTTAACAAATATCTGTGATTAAATAGGAGACTATACATCTTAATATCCTAGAAAAAATAAGTGTGAGGATAACTTGCAAAACGTAGTTTGACTAACTGTTCTCTAACTCATCTTGAAAAGGATCGCTAAAAGAAGGGAGATCATATCACTTAAATGCATATTATATTTAAATAAAACCTGTGAAACAGTTTTCTGTGACAACAGTGTAAATAATATTAATTGCATGCATTATTCATATAAGTGAGATGTTCCCCTCTTTAATTTGATTTTGTATTCACAGCTAAATATTAATATAAAAGGTTTTGAAGCCCCAGTTGGCAATTTAAAACATGACTAGAGGATTGAAAGTTGTTTACTCTGCTGAAGAGAGGGCTGTAAAACTGAATTAATTTTGAATATGTTAACATTTGTTCTGAGGCAAGGGAAAAAGAGGTGATGCAAAAGTAAAGCAGTAGGTTGTTAATGGTGAACCCAAATACCATTTGCAATCAAATTGTTTAGGTAACAAGCTGTTGCCACTTTCTTGTTTTGTCATGAGTAGCCCACATCTCTGTCTTTTTTCTTAAAAAAAAAGAGTGAGTGAGCCCTACTGTAGATAGTGACGATTGGTTTGTTCAGAAATAACTATAGTATTGAGGATTATGCAGAAGATGGAGAGCTTGTCCTAGAAAGTTTTATGGATTTAAAATGTTTGAGTGATGAGGGATTAGAAAATGTTGTTAAATTTGCTCAGTCTATTCAGTTATTTCATGCCTCAAAAGCCTTTTATTAATTATTTTTGTAATTTAGTTTCAGACACATTCCTAGACTTTATCACCCTTTTCAGTTGTAGCCCACTCTTCTTAAATTGGTAATGTATTGTAAAAATATTTCTTCGGTTTTCTGCACATCACACAAAAGAGGTTAACAAATGCCATTAAAAAGATACAGTGGTCTTCTATGTGTTCTTGACATTTAGAACTATCTTGGTTGCTGATAATTGTTGCTTTCCTCTATTGTTATTCATATTTTCATCTTGCAGATACAGTTTATGGTGGTAATAATTGTTGCTTTTCTCTTAATATTTTATTCATATTTTCATAACTCAAGGGCAATAATCACACCTTTCCCAATGTTATCTGTATCTTGCAGATACAGATTATGGTGGTATTGAAGGTTTAAACATTGTCCTCCGTGTTCCAATACTTTTAACCACACACAGTTTAACACTAACTGTAACTGAAAAACTTAAAAAACTATTTCCTTATTTTCAGTGAAGCTCAGAAAGTGAGCTGTGCAAAATGTGTAGGTTAACCAAATTTAATAAAGTTTGAAATATTTATTTTACATTTATATTTGTATTCTTCACATTTATGCCATGTGCCATTTTTGTATTCATAAACATCTCCGAAATTAAACATTATATGGATCAGTCTCTGGGCCGTGTTCAGCTTTGTGCTTTCTTGATTGCTTTGTTTCATATACTGTTTTGTTTAGTACACAATTGTGTATTTCAACCCAATTTAACCTTTTGCCATGTAGCTTTGTCTAAAACGAGCCATTTTACAGCATGGGAAAAAAACATGCAGCTTTTATAATCTTCCAGTGTACAGTATATTCATATTATATTATATTCCTAGTATACATTTTTGCAGGTTTTGTTTCTACAGAGTGATGGAGGTTATATGTTTGAGAATGGCATATTTGCTAGAAATGATTTACTTTATGTCTGCCTAAATTGGTACCTATGCCTTCTTCCAGGTTACCTCAGGAGGTACAGAGAGTATCCTGATGGCTTGCAAAGCATACAGAGATCTGGCACGAGAACGGGGCATCAAACACCCTGAAATGTAAGTTGCACAGGAGTAAACATTTCTATATGTGTACGCACTGAAGTATCTGTAATTTTGGAAATACAGCATTCTCTTTAAATTGTGTTCTTGAAACTAACTTATTGCTGGCTTTTCATAAAAAGTTCTGTTATGCACAAGTAAATACAATGGAGGCAGTGGTTTATTTGATTTGTGGTAATCCTATTATTTCATAGAAGGAAATATCAGTTGTACCACAAAATACACATATTGCCATTAAAATGCCAGCATATCAGCTGTACCCCATGGGAAGAATGTTTCAAAAAGGGACTATTTTTCCTTGGGGAAAATGAGAACAATAACACTTAAGCTTGTTGCATCCTTTTTCCTCCTATGCAAATATGTAAATTCAAAATATGCTCAGTACAGACTTGCTTTATAGAAGCTCTAGACTTGACAGAAACGTGCTGTGCTTTAGTGATTTAAAGAGTGACATCTTGTGGACTAAAGTATGAACCACAATAACAAGCTGGAGAGTGATGGGGGAAGAACAACACAACATGGTCATCGCAGTTGGTTCAATCCACTATATTAATAATTATTACAAACATTGAGAGAACTTTTATGTATAGATTTCACACTTCTGGACATTTCTTATGTTTTGTGAAAACGTAATAGTCTGGCAATTAATGGGGAACTCAGAAGCACAACAGCTCTTTCATTACAGAATGAGGCAGTACTGAAAAGACTTATGGTGTTTGTAACCTTGGGAACCATAAGATACAGTGCAAAGGAGAATGCTATACCTATTCCCCAGAGGAGTAGATAGCATTATTAGTCCTTTCCTGTTATTTCAATTCTCGTATTGTCTTATACGTTATGTATAATCTCTTAATGACATACTATTCAGACAGTTCAATAGCTTGGTTTTCTTACAGTTAATTACAAGGATAAGTGCTGAGATATATCTGGGTTTCACAGCCTGTTATTCCAAATTCTTATACAAAGACTAATTTAAACCTTTACCAGACTTCAATTATTATCTAATTAACAGAACCTTGCTATGCTGAAGTGAAGGCCCTTTGAAAACAACTGATTTTTCAGTTTTTCTAAAGTGCCTTTGTGTCCTCTGTATGGCTATATCAGGCCCTACATGACCAGTTAGACCAAACTACCAGACGGATTTGTTTGTATCTGCTTCTTAATTGGTAGTGTTAGTAGAATGTTCATTGTAGGGATGCCTATTTCTACATGAAAAGTGTATACTGATTTATGCAACATAAGTTGCTGAAGAGCCACTGAGTATTTGTCTTGTTGTTGTAGCAGACCACTTACAAGCTAAAGTTTGTCCCTGTTTCAGCCTTGCACCAATCAGTGTTCATGCAGCTTTTGACAAAGCAGCGCACTACTTTGGAATGAAAATAATTCACATTCCCCTGGATCAGAAAACTATGGAAGTTGATGTGAAGGTGAAACTTCTTGTATTCGTTTGACAAATGTTTTAGTTCTTTACTTCAGCTTGAAATGCTACAGTAGTTTACCTTCTTAACAAAATGATTTGAAAAAGGTAGACATACTCCCTATGAGTTTATGTTGAAGTTTGTTGTGTACAAATCTGTTTTTTTTAATAAGATTATTTTTTAAAAGGTATTTTTACATTGAACACTTTTTTTCTTCAGCAATAGAGGAGATGCATTCAAATTGTGATGAAATCCTTGATTTGATTGTACAACCATCTATGGATATCTGCAGCATCACTGACACAAAACTAATATTGACGAATGCATTGTTACCTAAGTTATGTAAATAAGATGAGGGTAATATCTGTAGCTCTTGATATGCCATCTAAAAACTTTGAATTTCCAAGTGACTTGTTTAAGATTACAATGAAGCCTGTTTTATATTTGAAGAATTAATGAGAGTGTCAAGAGATGTTAACACTTATGGGAAATCTGTGGAGAAAACAAATGGCTTCTGCAGTGATCAGATCCTAGGTTTTGTTGTAAATCAGGTTCTGTCTGTTGAAATAGGCCATGAGAAGAGCCATCTCGAGGAACACTGCCATGCTAGTCTGCTCTGCCCCTCAGTTCCCCCATGGAATCATGGACCCTGTGCAAGATGTAGCAAAGGTGATGGGTCTCTTTCTTTCTATGCCATAGTATCACATTGCACTTCAGCAATGGGTTTAGTATGATTCAGCTTGACCAGCAGAGATTGGGTGGGGTGTGACAAATTGTGATGAATGCCACGTGTGTTGACAGGAAATTTAAATATATGAAAACAAGGAATCAAATATAATCCAGCAGTCATGAGAAAAAAAAATTAAAAACCGAACCCCGAAGAATTTTTTTACTGTATGCTTGCACTCCTATTCATTTGTTTTTATTTTACAGCTGGCTGTGAAGTACAATATTCCTTTCCATGTAGACGCATGCTTGGGTGGTTTCCTGATCGCATTTATGGAAAAGGCCAAGTACCCCCTGCGTCCTTTTGACTTCCGTGTCAAAGGGGTGACCAGCATTTCAGCGGATACACACAAGGTGGGCAGGAGAATGAGTTCAGCCCAGACCATAACTCCCTTCCTAGCTTCATTTCAAAACTCACGGCCCTGATTACGGCCTACCACACAATTGCTTAGGGGTGCATTACGTTCTCTTGAATTAGGAGACACATGAGTGGTGTTTCCTCAAGTTAGGGTGCATGTTAAATGCATATTCCCAAGTTATGGGAGGCATTCCAGACATTTCTCTGAGTTATAGAACCTGTTGGATGAATTTCCCCAGGTTAGATGAGGGGTGCATTAGATGTGAATCCCTAGGTTAAGGGGTGTAATAATAACAGATACCATGTGAAAAAAGGCAGCAGCAGGGCTCTGGACTGGAGGGACTCTAAAGCCCTGGTGTCAGATTTCCAGTGGGATGTGGCTGTTGTGCCCCGGAGCAAAGTACTTCGCTTACATTTCTCTACAACCTGCTCCCCTGTACTACGGGGTCTGAGTTTCCCAATTGACTTACCAAATTAAATAGAGGGATAAAACAAATCCTGGCAAATTTGCATGTCTAAATTGGAGCTTGATAGAAACATGAACAATTAAAGTTGCAAAGACCATGAAACCTACAGATGAACACAAAAATAAGCATCTAAACAAATTAGTTACAAACAATTGAATTGATCTTTTATCATAGACTGTGACAATTCTTAGTTCAGAGAACTAGATTCTGATTATCATGCTGAATACATGTAACTGTTTTAAAGTAGATTATTAGTCTGAGTATAATTGTATGTTCAATTTGTTTTATTGGTTTTCAGGGCAAAGAAAGACTATTACATGGTACCCTATACGATAATGAACAAATGTGAACGATCATCCTGGTACCTAAACAAACTGTATAAATCCACCAGTCATATAAAAGCAGGAATAAATGAGTCGAAAAAAGGAAACCAGAGATGAGCAAAGGAAAAAGAGAAAAGGTAGTGAAAGGTCAGAAGAGGGAAGCCACAGTCTTCAAGGTCTTTCATATGTCTGAGTGGAGCTTTAAGTTCTTAAGGAAGGTTAAAAAAGGGCTGCCAGGCAGAATAAAATTTTGCAGTTGAGCCACAGAGGGAAAACGTAATTTGTTCAAGGTGGAGAAAGTACATCACAGCTCTTACCAGTGAGTGAAGGTGGGTGCAAGCAGTTGTTTCCAATGGCGCAAAATTAAACATCGCGCTAGTAGTGGAATATAATTTTAAGGTGTTAATGCATTTGACATTATTTGACATGATTTCACGCTTATGTAACTTGTGCTGAGCTTATTTTTTTATTGTCTCCTTTTAGTATGGCTTTGCCCCAAAGGGCTCTTCTGTGGTCCTGTACAGTGATAAGAAGTACCGACATTATCAGTATTTCGTGGCTCCAGACTGGCAAGGAGGTATCTATGCATCTCCCTCTATTGCTGGCTCCCGACCAGGAGGCATCATTGCAGCTTGCTGGGCCACCATGATGCACATGGGAGAAAGTGGCTATGTTGAAGCCACAAAGAAGATTATTAAAACTGCACGGTTCATTGATGCAGAGTACGTTCACTGGCTCTTTCTTATGAATGAATCTGTTAATAAATGTTAGAATAAAGATGTGGATGTGGATAATTTTAAATGAGCTCGGAAGTTACATTGGAAGTGTAGAATCATAATAAAATTCTACTTGTTGCTATTTAGCTGAATAAACTATGCAGCTGAGGTGTCCCTGGGAGGCTTTCACAGGGAGCAGCCATTTTGGCTCATTTGGAGGATAGGAATTGTCACTGAGCCAGAATATAGACCGAGAGCCCAATAATTGTGTACAGCCGTAGGAAGGGATAATGAGGCCCAGCTGGTACGTAGATCTTATAGTGCAGAGCAGGGTTATCTTTCTGAGAAAAAGTCCAGCAGAGAAAGCAAAGAACCTGTTACTGTATAAAACCTAAACTAAACAAACAGAATGTAATTATCTTGTAGTGTTTTGGATTTAGTCCTCCCTCATTTTACCTGTCTAAGTGCAGACTGGACTCCGATAAGGAGTTAGATTTTGTTTTGGATTCCTTGGTCTGTAGAAAATACAGCAAGCTAACAAGTCCTTAATAAGGTGATTCAACAAACTTCTTGTTTGTGTTCCAAAATGTAACGGTTACTGTAGGTCACACTATTTTTCTACATGTGTTTAGATAGTATTTTAGATAATGTATTGATTTTTTTTGTTGTTTTTCAGGGCTAATTTTGATAGATCTGAATTAAATACAAACTTAATTTGTATATGAAGCTAGAAATATTGTTTATTCCAAACACCTTTGTTCTATAAATAAATATAATTAGAAATTATTGTTGTGCTATAATTTGTTGTCTTGTTCTTGCCACACAGAATTCGCAAGATAGATGGAGTGTTTGTCTTTGGCAACCCTGAAGTTTCTGTTGTGGCCCTGGGATCTAAAGTCTTTGACATTTTTCGGTTGTCCAATGCATTGACCGCCAAGAGCTGGAATTTGAACACACTGCAGTTTCCTTCAAGGTGAATGTTGGAAATCTGCCCCATTTCCCCATTTCATGTTGTACAGTATGTTAACTGTAATTAAAGACATGTTTTCCTTGCCTTTTTTTTCTCTGAAACATCTATTTTGTCTTCCATGCAGTATCCACATCTGCGTGACGCTGCTGCACACAAAGCCTGGTGTGGCTGAGAGTTTTGTGAAAGACGTCAAAGAGTGTGTGGCAGTTATCATGGAAAATCCCCAGGAAAAAACCACTGGCATGGTGAGCTTCCTAGCACATGTAACCGAGTTTAAAGTACATTGTCAGTTCTTCCTGTCTGGTTAGGTGTACTCTAACACTTTTGTTTGTGCCTTCAGGGGGCGATCTATGGCATGGCACAGTCTATTCCAGATCGCTCAATGGTGACGGAGGTTTCTTACGGTTTCCTTGACTGCCTATACAGTACAGAGCTTCCCTCCACAGACAATGCGCACATGAACGGCACCTCCAAGGCCCACTGAGCCTCTGAATATTTCTTCAGGGTGCAGTGACCTCTGGGAGATAGGATTACCTGTGGAAAAACAACATGGGTACCTCCAATGTTTTTATTTTTCCTCCCACTGTGTTCTGTGAAACTTGAAATAGGTTTTTGCAATAGTTAGAAAACACATTTTTCCTCTCAGATCATAAGTCATTTAACCTGTGTATAGAAAAAGCAAGTCTTTTAAAAGGCACAAAAAATGGTAGATGTAGAAGAATAAAAGAACATCTCTTTTAGTTTAAGTGTCAGTTGATAATGAAAACCTCCTTTGAAAATGCCTATGCCAATTATATTTATTTAATACACTCCACACTGCATCCTTTCATGTTTTGGGATACTTAAGCAACCTACTGTACTGTTAGAAAACCAATGGGTATAGTTATATTTATCAGACAAGGGGCTCACACGGTTCACCCCTGCTCAATAATAAGCCAAGAAGAAAAATAATAGTTGTAAAATGTAGGTTAACTTCCTGAATTTAAAGAATTTACCTTTGGAGTTATGTTGGCTTTTTGAAAATCTTTTTTGCAGTTCATTGTTTATTTGTGAAGCATATTAAATGAATGCTCGGAGTGTCTCTAAAGACACTCTGCGTAGGACACGGAGAATCATAACCTAAAACTTGTAATAAAAAATTTAGTCACCCTTTGCCACAGTAAGCATTATAAAATTCAATTTTACAAGTTTTCTGAAACAAAGGTGTTTGTTTTTACTAAAATGCCTAATGTTTAAGACCTTAATTACGGTTTTGTGAATATAATTATTCATGTTAAAATATTTATAACACGCATACCATCAATTTAAATATTTTGTAATTTCTAATCTTTCAAACTGTCCTGTCAGTTTGTTCTATTAATGTTCTTTAAATTATAATGACACCATATGGTCTGTTCGCCTGTCTTAAACCTTTGTGTAAAAATATTCAGAAAACCCTTAGTTCTTATTGTCACTCAAAATTGGAGGATTTAAAAACCAATTTGCTTTCTGTTTTATACTGTTGAGCATAAGTGTGGATTTTTTTTTAATTAGACCCCGAATCAGACCTTGGTGTTTTACTCCTTCATCATCTGCAAAGTGGTGAGATTTTAAAATTCACTCAGTACTGTCTGACAGTTCAAAGTGGAATTCCAACCAGTTCAGGTGAACCAAATGGTACTAGCTTGCCAAATGATGGTTCCAATAAGCTGATTGTCTCTGTAAGGGAAGGGAAGCTCTAGCAAGAATTTAACTTCTCATTCATGCCTGATAGAGAATGTGTGTGTTCAGACAGTATCTAGTTTAAAAAAAATAGTTTGGGAGGTTTATATTTTCTCAGCCAGGTGTCCTCAGTTTTAGGGAAGTGGAAAGACCACACGATTTGTTAACACTTTCCATCTACCTCACTGTCTAACTGCATTTCAAGGCAATCCTGATACATTTATGAAGGTTGGCCAGAGTACAGAGTGACCTGCATAACTGGGATTAATGATCTAACACTGCTCTGGGCTATGAACACCAAGGGCCTGATTCTCGTAATGGCACTAAGTTGTAACGCTTATTGTTCAGGACCAAACTATAGGTGCTGTCTGTTATATGGGTAGATTTGGCTTTACTTCGCTGTCCTTCACTGAGACCTTTTTAAGTATTAATATAGATGCAGAACAAAAGATGCATAAAAGCGAAACAACAAGAAATGAAAACTGAAAATGGATCTTCCGATCTTTTAATCAACTGTAATCACTTTCATGGCTTTATTTTTAACAGCTACTGTACGTGCTTTTTTTGTATGCTTGGGCAGTATACAAATGTTTCTGTAGGTACATTTCATACTTATTACCTCCATTGCTACTTCCTTTGAACAAACCGATGCTGGCAACCTAGAGGTACAAGGTGAGCAGAGCATATAACCATCCCCTGGGCATGAGGGTAGGGACCCAAACATGAACTGCTGTGATGTACAGTAAATGCTCGGTGTTCATGAGGGTTAGGTGCCTTGAACTCTCTGTGAATGCAGGGCTTAATACCCTATGGAGAAAATGAGGTGTGGTTTCACAGCTTGTGAAACTAGCATTTTCCATAGCAATATTTTTGTTACAACTGTTTATCATTTCAAAAGTTGTTTTAATTGCTAGTATTTTTTTATTGAAATGAATACTGAAAACTGGGGGGGGGGGGACCTTGTTTCCCCCCCTTTAATCCAAGTTATTGCTTGTACCAGCAAATTAGATCACTGTTGCTATAGTTTACCCTGTATTAGAGTTTGTTTTTTCAATCACAGCAGAGTGCATTTTCATTGCTGTTTACGCCATGTTTTTAATGTTCTCATAAATGCAACAGTACTGTAAAAGCTTATTGCAGCCCAGCAATAACAGACTAGAAAGTAAATTGTATTTCACTCCCTTCCCACTCAACCAACTCACTCTCCTCCTCCTGTGCCTTGAATAAGTCTGTTTCTTCTAATTCTTTTTTAATTCTGTTCCTCGAGACATGCAAGAATGAAGACTGTGATAACTTAGGAAAACATTTCAGTAAACATTTTTCATTCATAGGTCAAATCACAGTTATTGAGGTTTTATTGTAGATGTGAAATACTGAAAGCTGTAGTTAGAGGTTCAGTCCTCCTAGTGCTGACTTGGTGTGTTTTTGTCATTTTGATTGTTGTCTCTTATAATATTTAAAAAAGGTATAACAAAGTATTTTAAAGGTTGCCTTTAGTATACTATATGAACCATCAAAATTACAGATTTCTGCTGCCCTAACTGAAATGCAGGGCTAGTGGATACCTTATAAAGCAGGATAGATGTGCTCTAACACAATAGTTTAAACATTGTATTAATTTGCTTGTGTAGCTTTATTTTCTTTGTGCAATACCTCTCAGTAATGGTTATTAATCACACTGAACTCTCATTTTGTTTCATCCCCAGCTGGGCACAGATAAATGTTTGAGATAAATGAGGAGTACTTTAAACATGCTGTATCTGTCCTTTGTTAGAATTGATCACTATTACCAGTACTTTTGATGGTGCTTAAAAACATCCCTAAAAGGATCTTTCAAAATTATATCAGATTTGTAAATAATATTTCTTTATAATTCTATACTGTAAACTTCACCTTATAAAATATTTCCAGATAGTTTAATAATGATCTGTACATGCACTGAGAGAATGTAGGTAATTGCTTTAATTTTTTTAAAAACTAATTGAAAATTGAAAATGAGTATATAAAAAGTAGTATGTATTTTAATTTGTGCTATCCACACATTTAAGTTAGTGGAGGACAACTCATATGAAATTGGTACCTGACAAAACCGTGACTGTTGTCATACCTTGGCTCAATGGGTTTAAAGTATGTCTGAACATTATAAAATGTTTGCAGGATGGTTTTGGTAGGTTCTTTTTGGTTTGTTTCGGGGCTTTCTGGAAGGTTTTTTGTTTTGCATTTCATGTTTTTTTTAAAGAGGTCTCTGTGAAGAAACATTCTGCTCATATAAAAGTTACTGTATAACTGTTCTAGGTCCTAGACGGTGATGTGTATAATAACTAAATATTAACATTTTGTGCTATTGTGAAAATCTGTCTTCTAATTTTAATGATCACCGAATGATAGTGTTGGAACAGTTTTTTTTTAGATTTATCTGTTTTAGTTATAGTGAAAATGCAATGATGGAAACTATAACAAAATTAGATTTTGGCTCAAATCAAGAGACAAAACAATTTCTGTTGATTTATTTTCTTCCTTGATACTAGTTTGCATTCCATTTGTTGATTTGATAGCACAGTTACTAAATTAATAATGAGTTATGAAGTTCAAATGTTTTAATATTTGTTTTAAAATGGTATGGAAAATTCAGACATTTTTATATTAACATTTTAATGTTAATTTCTGTGTGGGTTTCCACTGTCATTGTGAAATTATCTATAGCATGTTCTTAACTGACGTGAGTAGGACGGATATTAATTTTAATGATGGTCAGCTGCTTTAATTTCATAGCAGTTGTAATATGTTACCACTTCAGATCATGGAATGAGCCACTTAAGAAGCTTTGCAAGAATACTAGGTTTTGACTGAGTTTCAAATAGTTTTTTTTTCCAATGCAGAGAGCTATGGATTCCACTGCGTTGTCGTAACTTTAACGGTTCGAGTGAAGTGGGAATAAATGCAGGGTACAACTCAGATGGTAATGAGATGTGGCTTATAAATACAGTTGGAGGAGTAGAAAAACCATGTGAAAATCATGAAAGGAGTAGAAAAATTGTGTCATCTTCATCTGTTCTGGTATTCCTCGATTGTATTGATAATTAAAGAATATCTGTACCAAAAAGGACTATAGTTTATACAATGTTTCTGTAGTACTAATATTACCAATGATTTCCTGTCCAGTCTCATAGCCATTTCTGTTTACCCTTACATTACAAGCATTCCCAAAGCACCTTGCCCAGAAATAAAATGTCTGGATATATGCACTGAATTAAAAATAGCACAATCTTTAAAAAAAAGGTTAAGCAGCATTCACCTGTATGCCTTCTAAGCTGAACCCTATTATGCATAGTTTTTTGGGCGAAAAGCTTTAGTTCACTTCTCCTCAGGGAGATAAAGTTGTCAAACAAATCAAAGATTACAACACATAGGACATTGTGTATATAAATACACTCCATGATTTACCATTCCAATTTCTTTATCACTGTGTGTTTGTTTCTTTTGAACTGTAATCATTGATATATAGTACCACATACTCTAGGAGTCTAGTAAGGAAAAGGGATAATTTTGGTTGAGTTTGTTGTTTCATGTAGTTAGAGGATTGTGACAGATGTCAATTGTAGTCAACCTGGAGAGACTTATACAGTAAATGTGTATAAAAGAAAAGCATTCTGATTCTCCCCCTCCTGTGATAGTATGTTCATAGTGGTAAATTCGGTTTGAGTTACAATTAGCAATTCAAAATGTGGGGAGCATCAGGAGAAAAATGGTCCTAATTAAAGAAGCATCTGTGGACATGTGCATTATCCTCTCAGGTGTCTGTTCTACCAGGGAACAAGTCTAGCTTTTCAAATAAAGTTCCCAGGAATGTTAAGCTATTCCGTATTACCTTTCTTTCTAAACAAATACATGTTGTCAGATACTGTGCATCCAATAATAAAGAGTTTTCAGACTAATTCATTTTTCTACTTATACAAACTGTAGATATTAAGAATAATTCTTAAAATGAGAATGAAACACTCTTCTGCAGTTTTTCAAAATAGTTTGTGCACTTAGTCATACTATCAAGAAGATTAAGATTGCTCTTAAAAACAGCTGCTTCCTAAAATCTTAGTCTGCTCTAAGGTGCAGCAGTGGCTCTGTCCAAAAACAGTCATTGAGCCTTGCTATGAGATGTTAGCAATGCACGCTTTCTGCAAAGTTGCAGTGTATTTAGAGGAGCTGTTACACAAGTGTTCTCCTTAGTAACATGCAAGAAATTTGATTTGTCAGTCTTCAAGCTCGTAAAAACGGGAAATAGCTATTATGCAAGAGCTTCTTGAACATAAACCCTCCTTCACTTTTATTTAATTCTGAGGTACGGATCTTGCCTTCCTTTTTCAGGCATTTGAGTTTTCCCATTCCAAGCATCACCTTGCTAAATAGACATTTTTTTATCTCAGATTTTTATATCTGTGGTAATTTACACAACTTATTTGAACAGAGCTGGATTTTTTTTTGTACAACCTGTGTATGTTCTGCAACCTCATGTAGTATTGTCATGAATAATGTGTGCTAATGTGCATTATTTAAAAACATGTTTACCAGAAAAATGCAATACATTAATTTTAGATCACCAAAAAACTGTGACTGCAGTGTGTGGACTGTTTTTGCCCAAGAATCTATTGCATGTTTGGTTCTGGTGTTGAGTTCCTTGTTTTTTGTGGTGTTTGGGGGAACTTTTAAGACAATTTAAAGCTGTTAATAAAGCATTTATAAAGCTGTTAATCTCTGTAGATATTTATTAATAGTGGATAAAATAAGTGCACATTTTAAAGGGATTTTGATTATTGAATCCTTGTCTATTTGTAGTCCCGTGTTTTACACTGTAACATATATTAAAAAACAAATTAAAGTGTGGTCCTGAACTAAAGTCTTGCTCTGAGATTATTAAACAACCTGTATAATAAATTAAATATGAAAATTTAAAATTCCATTTGGATTATACTCTCTTTAAGCCTGTTGATACTGGATAGGTTTCAAAGATCCATTGTGTAATGTTTGTACAAAACTGTTTGTACTGTTTTGTAATGAGTATCATTATGTTAAGTTCTCTTGAATGTTTAAGCGTTGACGTTATATAAAGAAAACAATATATGTACTGCCTCTGGCAGAAAACATTGGAACAGGTACAGTACTCGCATCAATCCACGTTTTACAAGAAAAAAAATTACCTTATAAATATAAGCAAGTAAGTTGTATTTTTACTTTTGAACAACAAATCCTACTTAGTCAGTTGTAGGCCAATACACAATTACATAATATGTAAATAAAGTGATAATGCAGATTCAGTATTCACATAATCTTAATAAAGGTGCTTTTAGTCATTTCAAACATTTATTCAGAATAAGGCACACTGGCAAATTTCCAACATCTGAAATCACATCATTATGAAACACTTCTATTACAAAACATCGGGAAATATATATTGGAACATCAGACATTGAACATTCATGTGTATGCATGTTTTCAAGGTTCAATAATTTTGCAACTTGATGAAGTAATAAATCCAAAAGAAAAAAGATTACTGCTTGCCTCATTAAATGCTTCAAAGAATGCCACTTAACTGGTATTTTTTTCTTGCAGTACTGGATGTGGTATGCTGATACAGGCCTTTTAAGTAGTCACATTAAAAGAAGCTTATATGAACAACAGCTATTATTGATTTTTACAGAAAATAAAAAAGATCATGTTTCTTGACACAGTGTTCACTCTTCAAAGATAAAAACTTACATTGTCTTCATCTTCTGATTAACATATTCAACATAAATTTTCTTCCCCTGTTGTCAGAAAAATTAAATACCTTACTTATTTTAGTGGAATGTATGTTAAGAAGCAGTAGCTCTTCCTAAATTCATGTGATAAGAAAACATAATTCTGAAATGAGATACATCAAATTATCTTGGAAACACTCCCGAGTATCAGAGTGCAACAACTTTAGAATGGTATCTTCCATACAAAACTGTCCTCTCTCCAATGGATCATATGTGTATATCTTAAGTAATGGGCAGCTTATATTTTCACTATTCAGAATCCTCAATCCACGATCTAACACAAAGTCACAGATGTTTCATTAAAGCACACATGATAAACAGGCTTGGAAACATTAATGTGGATGCACTTTTGTAAGTCTTCCATGATGTACTTTGGTACATATATACTGGTGATCAAAAGGTTTTGAGTTCAGTTAATGGCCAGAACAGTTTACTGGGACTAACCGTGTGTCTGTGCTAAGGTAGTTTATATCCTTCACTTTTCTTTATATCACAATGGTTTTCTACATACTTCACTGATGTTTTTTTACGTTCCATGCACTAGGTGATGTCTTGTAGTGTTACAGAATTGGTTTTGAAATATGTTTTCAGAACGTATTTAAAACACTTTTTTAATTACAAACTATGCAGACAGGGCAAGAGAATCTCTCACAGAAAACTGCTGTACTTTCACAGGCAAATGTGAACAGTGCTGTTTGTACTGAAAAAGATATAATGAATAATATGATGCTGTTTACCACAGACTGAATCTATTACGTTTGAAAATTCTGATGTTAATCTAAATATATTTGCATTGTAATACCTTGACAGTAATTGTCTTTGACGTGTTTGGCAGTTTGACATAATCTTGTAAGACTGTTCTCTGAACTGAACAACAAAAATTTTTGATCACTTGGGCTATCGCGACTCTCAATCTGGAATTTACAGTCAATGCAACATCCATTACTGGGCTGCTGCCTGTCTTAAGTTCTTTTAGAAGTCTGATATCCAGGAAGGTTAAAGAGCAGCTGCTTGATCGATGAAACTGGCCAGTGTGACATCTCTCTGTGAAATCCCTCCACATTCATGTGTGCTCAGAGTGACTTGGACCTGAGGGAATACAGACATGTCATGAGAAAACCATATGTTTAGCAGCTGAGTTCTGGACTACTATGAGGAACAATGAAACCTTAAGGTCAAGAAAAAACTGCTCTGTATTTGCTGACTGTTATTGCACCAGGATTTTGTGTAAGCTCTTATTACATAGTTAAGCTTTCTGTCCATCCATCTTCTAATCACTTCATCCAATTCAGGGTCCTCTGGGAACTGGAGCCGATCTTGGCAAGCAATGCCCGGTGGCAAGGTTGGAAACCAATTAGCCTACCTGCATGTCTTTGGCCTGGGGGAGAAAACCAGAGCACCCAGGAGAAACCCACTCAAACAGGGCAAGAACATACAAACTCCATGCATATACAGTGGCATACCAGGTCTTTAATTGAACCCAGGGCCCCCAGCACTGCGAGGCAGCTATGCTAACAACTGTCCACAATGCCACCCCAGTTCTGCTTTCAACTTTGTTCAAAACGGTTAATTGGACAATTTTTAAAGAATGATTTTTAAACGGCTGAGCTTGAGGAACATTGCAAAATATCAACTAGTCCACGGGACACATCCTGTACCTTGTTATAAACATTAAACCATTCAGGATGGTGGTCCATCTTCTCAGCTTGCAGTGCCACCCTGGACATGAAGCCAAAAGCCTGTGTGAAACAACAAAGGTAATATCATACTGGAAACAACTTATTTGAGATTCCTTTTTCTTAGATAGCAATCTCTTTCCGTAAGCTTTTCAACTGATCTCTTTTCAACAGCATCAGTTACTAATGAGAATGTGAGTGTTACGTGAACCATCATTTCTGTACTGTATGTAAATCCAAAACCTGATGGCTTTAGCTAAAAGTGCATCTTAGGAATTTATTGTACATTTTTTGTTTGTGTATCAGTCAAATTCTATGATCTAAGAAATTTAGATTATTCATTTCTGAAACAGTAGTAACTGTTGTGTAGTAAATGAGTGTGTCAGTACTCTGAAAACACTTTGAAACAGTGCTTTGAAAAACTGGCGTTTTTAGCCTATGCTTAGTGTTCTTATATTTTTTGTATTTAATACAGTATTTGTAAATTAATTGGAATACATTTTAGTCACATATTCATTGCTCTGTGTGGCTGAGCTGTTACAGTTTCTTGATGATGATTCACAAATTATTTCCAGTATTCAGACATGTTTTGATGGTAAAATAGGTGTAATTGATCACATATCAGTATTTATATTGTTCTTAGAAATTCTTATAGAAAGACACATAACTAGAGTACATTCCATTAGTGTAAAAGCTCTGTCTAATAATCTGTATTCATCTTAAAAGCTTATTAGACTAGCTCCCTTTTTTTCCTTTACTTTTTGTGTGGGAGCTTCTAAATGTCCTTGTTTATTTTTGTAGTATTTTTTGGAAACCAAGTTCATGAAATGTATTTCTGTCCTTGGCTACCTGATTGAAATCTTTAAAGAGGAATTCCTTGTAGATAGCATCCCGGCCCACAACCTCAATCCACTGGGCACTCCTCAGGTGTGGAAGAACCTGCTCCCTCTCCTCCTGGGTCAGTCTCTGCGCTTTCCCTGCCTGATGGACAAACAAAGAGACCATGTAAGCACCTCATCTCACGCAAAACACTGGCAGTATATTTAAAAGCAATCAAGATTCCAAAATCACCATAAAGAAAGTTCTTAAAAGTGAAACGGGGGGATTCCTGGTAGTTAAACAAGGGTTTGGGATTTTATGCTAGTCTTCCTTTGAGAACCCTGAGTTTTCAACTTTCCATTTCAGTACCAAGCATGATCTGTGTAGTCCTCCCCCTTGTTGCAAAGAAAGGATTTTGGCTTTGTGCTCATATAAACTGCAGAGTGAGTCCAGTCATATTGGGAAGAACAACTACATTTTAGTTTACCGTAACAAATCACAACCTTCTATACAGGCCTGGTTGGTATAAGGATAATAATTTGCACTTTACAAAATTGAAGAGAAGTCAATAGATGAATTCTCAAGGTCCCTAATGTATTTTCAGTGCCTATTATTCACTAGTAAAAAAGTAAATTTGTAATTGTAATGTAAAGTCAGTAAAAATAAACGTAGACATACAGTAATACCTAGATAAAATGTTTGCAATGGACACTGTCATAACTAAAAACCTTGAAGAAAGTTTTGTTCGTTTATAAAGCCATTAGCTAGCTTAACTGAATGGTTGGAAAAAAAATCCTAAGTAACTTGCAACGTCATGCTTTTTAACACAAAAAAAACCTTAGAATTTGCCTGTGTTTTTCTCTTTAGAACAGTATTACACATATAGTATCTGAAAAGGGGGAGTGCTGTCACTGAGCTTTTCAATTGGCTGTTCAACACAATCTGGGAAACAGCATGAAGCATTCCTGCTTTCAATAGAGCTGGCCTCTTCCCTTTAGGTTCTCATTAACATCCTGTGGACTACACAATGCCTATTAAAAAAACGTGTGCAACATACAGTAGCTGAAACCTGAAAATTACACTAGGTTTGTAGACAATAACACAATAAGAGAAAATTACAAAATGCACCAAATGATTGAATGTATTATCACATAACTCGATATACAAAAATTAAGGTATAATTATCATACTTTAAGAGGCACTGGTTTGGTGAAGTAAATACAATGCTTCTTAACACAAGTGATTTTTTGGAGAAAACTTATTAAAAAGATAAGATCTGAATAGCTTTTTATATTGCTTATAAAATCTCTGACTCAAAATTAAATTGATTTAAAAGAAATCATTTTGATCTCATTATTACCTTTATGAATATTTGAACCAAAAACCATTTATTTTTATATAATTCCCTAAATTTAAAAACTGGAAACAAATGTATGTCCTTGCACATTTGACCCTGCACAAAAGAAGCAAACCTGTTCAGGAAATTAAGAGCGATACTATTTTTTCCAGTGAGCATTGCAGATGCAGAGATCTGACATCAAACAGGTGGCATAGCAACAACTAGGCAGTCACCTCCACTAGTGACAATTATGGGCTACAAATAAACAAGAGCCCTACATTCTAGAGAGCAACAATTCAGACTTGAGATGCCATGTCAGCTCAGTATCACAATAAATATTCTAATGAGTCACCATTATGTGATGCACGACGAGTAAATACTGCTAATTATTCTAATGGTATATCGGTTTTGGTGGTTTGTGTATGCTTCATGGATGGATAAAACAGGTTTCATTCTTTTGCGAATACTCCAGCTTTATGGTTACAGATTGCGAGTTTACATTGATTAGGAATTTATGATAGGCTACCTGAACACGAGCCGTAAACCATTTGAAAAAACCTGTGCAAAAAATATTTGTCTTCAAAATGCTAAAGTTGTTTACTAATATTTACGTGGAACCTAAACCTAAAGATTTGCTCTTAGGAGTCACGCTGGTAGTAAGAGTTTTTAGCACCTAAGTAAACGGACACACTGACATATAAAAGAAGGTCGTTTCTGTCTGTATTTGTAACGATTTCCCAGTTATTTTAATTGATTTGGTCAGGAAAACTTCCAGGTATTACCGGATACTTTATCTCATCTATTGTCTAATTACTTCCCTCCCCCCAGATAGTGTTACTTAACATTAATCATTAGTCGCCTTCCTGCGGTAATCTGATCTTTAAAAACATTAATAGAAAATGAAGAGCCATGCTCCTACCATAGTTAGCGGTAAAGATATCTTCAGATAAATCTCTGGACCTTGTGCTGGCCTCAGCTGCAAGTCAGCTGAAGTGAATTAAACTCCCCCTGAAAAAGAGCATCTGGCATTGATAACAAGGACCAATATAGATGTCTACGCTGAAGCCTGACTGAAAGTGAATGCTGAGAGAGGAATGCCCTGCAGGCCATTTGGATATAACTGAAAAGCAGTCCTGACTCTATTACATGAGGCCCTCTTCAAGTGGGAGAGATCAATGCATCTCTGCTCACACATTCGCTGCTAGTATTGCCATTTTTAATGACATCAGCTCGCCTTTTCACTGGAATAGAAAAGACTCCCTGCCACTCAATATAATTCACCTTGTAAAATCAGGGAGAGGTCATTTTATTTTCTCTGGCTCTATTGCTAAAATGTTGTAATGTTGTCGTTCTCATTTTCACCTATAAAACACACCAAAAAATTATACAGTGAGGGAAACAGCAAAAGTGTTTTGGATTTTCATTGTATAAATCCAATTGTTGTGGAAGAAAATGAGGTGCTGCATTAAAAAGCTTAAAATATAGAAATCAAATATTTCATATATGTTGTTCAACAAAAATATCAAAAGAACTGACAACTAAAAAAGGACACAGCACAGCATGAATAAGAGCTTTATCTACCCTGACATCTTATTACTAAACTTACTGGTACTAAAAAATGTAAACAGAATAGCCACTAGAGCTCCCTTTTTAACATGCTACTCCCTTTGTTTTAGCTGTAAAATGCTGCTTCTAGGAGTTAGCTGAAAATCAATTTGCCAATATACAAGATTCAGATTATTATTTTTTTTATTTTATGAGTCAGTCTAACTGGAGCTGGTGTTTTTATTACAGCATAATGTCTTTTATACAATAAGAACCATCTTTCACTTCTGTTCTCGTTAGCAACAAGCCCGAAACATGCTCAGATAAAAAGCAAAGTGAAAAACAAGAGAAAAGGACATTAAAATTGTAATTATCCTTTTATCTGTTTAGTAATGTATCCACTTGTTTCATACTTTGTTAAATATGTTGGTTATTAAATAGAGAATAATCTTTTCAGGATCTAAAGGCCTCAGTCAGAAGACGATATTATTTTTGTGATAGATGTGAATAAATCTTTCAGAAGCTTTTTCTGAAGTAGTAGTTTAGAGATTTAGAGATAAGGTTACGTATTTAAGGGTGTATGCATCATTTGAGAAACAAGCCAGTAAAAGAATGGATATTTTTAACTGTCACTTTAATTCTAGGAAATTGTAAAGTGACTTTAATAAACCTAATCGCTAAGGACTTTACCTGGGTCTTTGACCTTTGGTCCAGGGGCTTGTAAGTGGAGAAAATCCTGACTACCATGGAGTCCAGAGTGACACAGACCTTTTTATTTGTTTTATTTCTCATTTCCACAGCTGTATTAGCTGAAATAATATCATCCGAAGGTAAGAATATGCAGTTTTGAAGAACAGGGCTTTCTGTTTCAGAGCTGTTTTCCAGAAGTGCAATTCAAATTATATTATAAGACTGAATTGTTTACAGGCAGTCCTCCAAATGTATTCAGAACTTCCTTTTAAAATCTTCATTTTTAGTTAATCCATTGAGTTCAATTAAATTATTATGTAATAATTACATTGTACAATTACAATTCATAGTTATATCATAAGTATTTTATGCATTTAACAAAATTTGTCACATGAATCTGATTTTATTAATCTGATCCATTTTGTGAAATATTGTGCAGCCTGTGAGATGAATTCTACATTAAATAACATACTGTATGTACAGTAGCTGTTGTCCTTACCTCTAAGAGTATTTGAAATTCATTTATTTTATGATATTCTTCAGTAAAGATAATTCACACTATATTGTATACCACAGAAACCCTGATGCAAACAATTAGCATGTTATTTTTAAATAAACTTCTGAATTTGGGAAGCTGATGGGTTCAGTGAGGAAATGAGACAAATTCCCTCGTATTCCTTCATATTGTGCACATTCCAGCTCAAATAGATGCTTCCTGTGAGGCTTTATCCAAAAGGTTTCTTTCATAAATAGTTCTACATTGTTTTAAGGACAACTATGAAACCTCAAATAATTTTTGATTACTTCAAACATTTTCATTGCTTTTCACTATGCTGAATATAAGCATGAATCACAGGTGTCTAATTATATAAGAACAAGTAATTGTAATTGTAAAGTAATGGTTTATTCCATGCTGAAAAGAGAAGAAAGAAAACACAACGTTTCACACCTGAAGAAGGCTCCACGTCCGAAATGTTGTGTTCTCTTTCTTCTCTTTTCAGAACGGAATAAACCTATTACTTGTTCCTTTTTTGTTGATTTGCTCCTTATTCAGGATTAAAATTATTTTTGTTTAGGCCATTTCAGTGTCTAATTTGACCTTAACACAACCTTAGTCCTACTGTATGTAATTCAGAAGTAAATTTAGCTGGCTGTGTTTTCACTATGAAAAAAAAAACTCTAGTTTAGTTAGTATACATATCTAGGAGTATCCTGCAAACTCACAATATTTTAACTGAGGGTGTGAGGTTTTATTAACACAAGCATGCATTTAGTTTTTTACTACTGAATTTGTTAATGTACCACTGTTTACTGTAATTTTACTCATAAATTACTTTTCTTTTATTTTCAGATTCCAATTTAAAAATGGATGAGGCTTTGCTGACTGTTCACAATAAATTGCCAAGAAGCATCATTGTTTTCTATGTCTCTGATTACTGCTACAAGGTAAGTGGCACAATTGGTATTGCAATACCAAATAAACACAACAGGGGGCTCTCTTTCCTGTGATGTGCTTCCAGTTTCATTACAAATACTCTTCTCTCTATTACATGATGTTGAAACGGGCATACAGAGCCCTCCAATAGTAGTGGGACAGCAGTCAACAATCAGTATTTGTGCTTTACAGTAAATCAGTTTGTATTTGGGGTCATGAGATTAATAAGAATGATAAAGGCAACAAAATATATGTTTTATTTTTAGGTAATTCCATCCATATATTTGATCATACTAGATTAAAAGCATATGAATTTTGGGAGTACTTTCATTTTCAGCTAATTCCTGAGTAAAAAAGTCTGTTTTGGTGCTATCCCTTTGAGGCATAGAACTCTGTGCTTGTGTAGAAGAAGCATTTTGTCCTAGATAGGCAGACAATATCTGTAATTTCAGAATATATTCTGCTGCTGCCATCATCTGTTCCATGATCAATTAAATGTTTAAACCATGTCTTTAACCATGATTTAGAGATAAGATGGTATTTTTGGTAGCAAACACAATTCCTTTCTTTCTCCACACTTTAACCTTTCCACCACTTAAATAAGGGATTTTCTAGGTTAAATGATTCCATGAGACTTTGCTCCAAACCTCTCCTGGTTAATCTCTGTACTTTCTGGTAAATTATGAAGCATATAATGAAATTAAACGTTCAAGCTTTGGTCAGCCAAGACAACGATGCATAGTCAGATCCCAACTAGCATCTACAGAGAAAATAATTGCATCCTATGTGGTCTTATTTTTTAAGAAGCATTGTCAAGATAGGGCAAATAATGAGCTTGTGAATCTTAATGTAGTACTTTGTGTCTTGAGATGATGATTTTATACAAAATGAGAGGAATAGGAGGTTATTTCTTCTTTTACAGGGGAATAGCAACACTACTCTATAATTTGGAGTTGCAAATAATCATCATTGATGAATCATTTTAAACCACATTAAAAGTAAAATGTACACAGTAACTTGTAAAATCTCCAATTTGCATCACAAAATAGACAAAAGTTCCAGGTATGCGCAGTGCCATATTGCCACCATTGTCTGTGATTCAGAACAAGACAACAAAAATTTAGGTGATGTGAAAAGGCCCTATTACATTGTAAACAAGTAGTTTAGGCCTGTGAATAAATCTCCTTTAATGTAATAGAAATATTGCTCTCCACTTCAAGAAGGTTTTGCTGACAAATACTACTTACTTGTTAACTGTACATGCAAATCACATCGGAACATTTCTGCAGTGAAATATCTGCTGCACAACCTGTACTTACAGTATTTGCTCATACATCACATTACATTAGTCACTACAGCAACAACAAGTGAGCAGAAAGGGCTGCTTCACATAAAAATTTGCCCCAAATCTCGCTCTCTCCCATGGCAAGACATGGGGTTTTGAGACAACAATGGTGACCATACAGTACTTTCACATTGGAAATTGGAAATTTGTAAAATGTTTCTATACTGTCAATTAATTTATTTTGTTGTCAAAATGTATTAACTGGTCTGAGAAATTTGGACTGCAATTCCCCTTTAAAACATCACCTATTACTATTGCATTTGCTTATAACTGTTGTTATGAAATAAGCATCTTCCTCTATTTTTGTGTTTTGGTACATGATAATGTAACAAAAACACAAGCTCCAGCTCTCCGTAGTGGACTGGTGAACTCAATCCACTTGTAAATCACTAGGAGGTAAAGAAGACTGAAGTCAGTGACTGAAGGCAGTGTTTGTCCTGCAGAGATGTTCATATTTATAAACCACCTGGAACACAACTTCAAAATGTTAAGAAAATCTAACTTTCTTGTGTACTGGGTTTTTAACATTAAACAGACAATTTATCAATGCATAAACATGCCAGAAATAAAACAGAAAAGCAATTTGCTCAAATCATTCTTACAATGCCTCATTCTCAGACAGACATTAAATTTATAATATCTAACAATGCTATTAAAGATTTTTCTGCTTTTCTAGCAAGCGTGGCAGTAGCAGGATTCTTTCAAGCAAATCTGTTTACTGTTAACACTAATTGCTGATTAAACAACCCCATTAGGCCAGGCTGCAGTGATGTTCAAAGTTGATGGAAAGCACTAATGTTTCCTAATTGCTTTCTCTTTTCAAGAAGGATGTTTTATCTTCTTTATCTTTGTGAACTAAAGGCCAAGAACAGCTGAGCCTCCTTCCTCACAAACACTTTCTGATCCAAAAGCAACAATAACAACTGGTTCCTGGAGAATTTTGATACATGTCAACCAATGATAGAAATTAGACCAATAATCTAGGATTATACTGTCAACGTTGAAGAGAGAGAGATCTGTGTTCCTGATTGATAGATGACCGTTATTCTTGATCCTGGGTTATTTAAGATTAACCACAATTGCAATTGCACTATAGACAAATATTTTAAATGTATGTGATAATCACATTCAGTGTCTTGCACAAGTGTTCTACTCTTCCAGAGATTTCATATTTTGTTAAATTACAAATGATGAATATGCAGTATAATCATTATTTACATTTTTTTAATTTTTCACCAGACCTTGAATGTTCAAACTGAGCATGTTTATGGGGGAAAGAAGTTATACTGTATGTCAGCAAATGTAACACCTTTGCCATGACAAACTTAAATTAGTTCAAAATTGAAAGGTGTCTGTGTGCAATAATGATGTCTCACAAAATTCCAGAATAAATATGCCAGAGTGAGGTCCCCCTGTCAGGTAATGAATTTCACACAAATATTCAGTCAAGGAGCTTTCAGGGAAGAAGCTGTAGAAAGGCACTGATCAGGAGAAAGATACTGCTTTACAGCAAGTGACACTGAACACAGTGAAGTTAATCATTAAGAACCAAGTATTACCCAGGCATTGCATAGATCAGGCTGTTCCCCAAAACTAAGCAGCTAAGCAAATAGGAAACTAGTAAGAGATGCAACCACAAGGCAGACAGCATCTTTGCTGTAGATTTTCAATGGCTGGAATGCATTATTTTATGGAGCTGCTTCTCATCATTAGAGACTGGGAAGCTTGTTAAGACTGAGAGCAGAGTAGATGGAGAAAAGTACAGGCAAGTCTTAGAGGAATATTTGTTCCAGCCAGCTAAAGGCTTAAAACCGTGAGGGAAGATTCACCCTTCAGAAGAGCAGTGACACATACTATACTTTAGCTCCGCTAGAGAAGAAAATGAGTCCCTGAGTGGCTCAAAGTCCTGAATCCAATAGTGAATTCAATAGAAAATATGTGGACAGATCAACTGTCCTCTACAAATTTGACAGGGCTTGAGCAAGTTTGCAAAGAAGAATGGGTGAAAATGTCATGACCGCCAGCCAGCAGAGATCTACCCACAAGAGAGCTAACCAGTGCCAGCAGCGGGTTAATAATAACCAGCGCCGTCGCACGTGTTCATCCATCAGCACACGCTCTACCGTGCGGCACGCAGCTCTATTTAAACTATCATAACTCACCTCTCGCTGCTTGCTATTGATTCCACTCCTAGAGAGCTCCTACCTCACATTTTGTTAGAAACCCTCTTGTGATATTTCCTGTGATACTGACTACAAACTCGCCTAACGTTTTGGATTGGACACCTGTTTCAGTATCTACATTCTCCATCATCTGTATAGGATCCTCATACCTCAACACTTGAATTCCTTACAGAAAACTGCACCATGCCAGGGTGCAAGGTTGGTGGAGATGTATCCAAAAAGACTTGTAGCTGTAATTGCTGCCAAAGGTGCTTCTACCATGTATTGATTCAGAGGGCCGAATACGTGTGCAATTAACATATTTTAGTTTTTGATTTTCCTTTGCAGTTTGCACTGATATTATACTTCTTTCACTCATAAAAGTGTTCAGTTTGAGCAAAAATATTCACTTCATTGTATCTGTGTGTAATTAACCAAAATGGGAAGTTGAAATGAGAAATGGAATCATTGGAAGGAGGTACTGTAAATGATTTTGCACTATCCCATACTTTTTAGAATTCAACTTTATCCACTGCAGAATTCATGAAAATTAAAAACTGTGGTAGTATTAACTCTATTTTTTTAAAGTTATGTCTGTATAACATTGTGTACTTTTACAATTGCCCTCTGAGATATACTGTATGAGTGGTGTCCTCACACCTTCATAGGGAGTTGACTATAATTCATTTTATGGGGTTGCATGCCATAATGCAAGTGATGCAGTATTATTATTGGCACAGAAAAATGGCTTGTAAGCAGTGGTAAAAAAAAATAAGATGGCAACCGAAAACAGGGACTGGGATTAAAGTTGATTTAAAACTGAAGATAATCCCAGGTCCTCTAAGAATTCTAAATTATTTTTAGTGCCTGTACCAGCCTTTGGTCGTGATTCGACCCTCCAGTGGACTTCAGCCTGGCAATGCCTCAGTAGCCATCCGTACGCGATTCATCTTGACTTTCAGGATCATGACTGAAGTTGGGAACATCACCCTTTGCAGGTAAAGTACAAACTGTCACATTCAAAACACGAATGTGTTTTGTTTTCATATATGAATACAATCATGGGCAGCAAGGTGGTGCAGTCAATAGCATTGCTGCATTTCAGTGCTTTGGCCCTGCAATTGGCCCTAGGTTCAATTCCAGGAGTGTTGTCTTTGTATGCTCTCCACATATTCGCATGGGCTTCCACTGAAGAAATCTGGCTCCGGCCTGGGGTCATTACTCCTGACCTGAGTGCATTTTTAACAGACATCTGCTTTTGTGTATGACATCTCAGAAATAATTGAAAGCCTGGGATAACATTATCAGGAATAGCCACTAAGCCATAAGTGAAAGTATTTTCTATGATTCCGTTACGTTGGTTATGGTCACTCATCAATGGTAATAAAATGGGGTGACCATGGCTGGACCTGTAAAACCTTCTCTAACACTCCTGGAATTCTGGGACATGGCGGGGAATGCACTATGCGTATTCTCCAGAAATGGGCATTTTTGGCACATACAGTATTAAATCTCAATCTCAGCCCTTCACTGAACTGCACTGTGGCTCCTTGCATCCATATACCTCCAGGGTGTTCTAGTTTCCTCCCACAGTCCAAAGCTATACTGGTTTAATTGTATGTGCCCTGCTATGGACTGGTGTCCCTTCCTGAGTGTATCCTGTTGCTTGGTGAGATAGATAAATGACCTACTGTATAATGGATAAAGCAGACAATGGGTAGATGTAATCCTTATGCTGATATTTGTAATTCTTATCCAGTACTTTAAGTAAAATGCTACTATTAAATATGTCTGAGAGAAATAATTAAATGTAAAATGGTTGCTACTTGCAGATACTAAGCTTGAAAACAGCCAATCCAATTCAAATCAAAGAGGAAAATCTACCTTGAAGGAAAGTGTGACAATACAACACTAAGATAAGAAGCCTACATGTTAATTAAAAGCTGCAGATATTTTTTAATATTGCTATTCTACACTGTGTAAAATGTGTGCTATGCAGAAAAACCTCAATCAAAAACATTTAAAGTTACAGTTTTTACCAAATAGATACAGTATACTGTAAGTCAAACAATAAGTAAAATTCACAGCTGACTAGCAACAGCCAGGCATAAGACAGTGGATTGTTCTGAGATCATATGAAGAATGTTTCCGATCAGAACAATTAGAAGACAAACCATACTTCCAAGGAAGAACACAAGCAGGTACTGTACTACAATACAAATCAATCCTATCAAGGTCTGGAAAATGATTTGTTCAATATGACAGTGATCCCAAATATCCTAAAAAAGCATCTTCAGAGACTTTGTAAGACTGATTCCTCTGCTAAATGACAAAAATAACCGCACAATTTATTATTTAAATTTTATAACTACTTTTGTGATGTTAAACTGGGTATTTGATATCTTAAAGCTATAATGTGATTGCAGGCAGTTTCCTGCACATCTAGGAAATATGTTGACTATAGCATGAGCTCCAGACCAACTGTCAACTGCTTTCCCAATATTTTAACTATAAATGTAATATATACAGTAAATAATAAATCATTTATTTATTATTTAATAGAAAAACACACTACAAATATTGTAATATAGCATGCTTAATATTTCATTTTCATTTTGGTTTGCACTTAAATGGAACAGGATCTTGAGAAGGGATTTAACTTCCTAAGAATTGTATGACAATTTTCACATCGGTCTTGCAAAATGAAGAACTTGTTGCTATGATAGGTTCATCCATTCTAGTTCACATGTTAATTTTTGCATACTCATACACTGAGAATGTAATAATTAACAGAAAACCAGTATGAACGTTGAAAAATGGTTGGGAAAAAAGGTGTTGTGTGTAACTTACCATTTGATTTTTGCCAATTAGCAATTAGCATTTCTGAAATTAATAAGAATTATTTGTATAACTTTTGTTTTGTGATTCAAAGCCTTTTATAAATTTATTTAACAATTTAGCACATATCAACATGCATTGTATATGGTGAGGTGAGGTTATTTTTAGAACCTCTTACATGGTGACAAACAGGATACCATTTCAATTCCTGTTGCTTCTGCCCCATATTGACCAAAGAAAGAATTTAATAATGACCTTCTTTATTCTAAAATGATGCCCTTTTTAAAAGTATCCTGCTTTCTATTGATTTTATTGTCCAAAGGTTAATAAAAGCTGACATCTCAATAATGATAAAAAGGCCCTAATCCAAAGATCCCATTAAAAATTTAGAGCAGAGAACTGCAGGGCCACAGAAACCTCAGAAGGATGTTCAAGAGCATGAATTTGCAGCAGTATTTATAAACAATCTGAGTGTACAAGACATTAGGGCTTGAAGATTTCATTTGGGGTCATCTTTAAATGAACTCTAAAAGCATTGGATTTCACTCGACAAAGCTCTTTTTCTCTCAGGCTCTGGTCCAGAGATTCTTCATCAGATCAATACAGAGGTCCCTTCCCAACCCAAGAAGATATTGATTTTTTACTTTTCTTTTTTTCACAAAAAGAAAAAAATACACTCTAAGTGATGGCATTGTATGTCACTCCCTAGTCAATCAATAAGGCCAAGTAAAGCACCCTGTGAGCAGATGGAACCTGAACTCAAGGCTCAGCTGCTGAGGCAGTTATACTGTAGCTCTGTGTCAAAGAGCCACTGGGTGTCACTCACAAGCTGCTGAGAGTTCACTGAAATGATACAGAAGACAATCGGAAGGAACTTCAGGCCTTGAAGAGTTTTTCAGTACCTTCATAAAGGCTCCCCTGTCAAGGACTGTTCAAGGTTCATGTTCTTATTTCGATTTTTGTTTAGTGTTTTCATTGATGTTGTTTTGTTTATTGTGAGAATAAATGTCCTGCAAGAATTAGGGTTTCATCTCTTATCCAGTTAAGACACATATTGTGATGAAGTTTTTAATAAGAAATGTGTTGATTTTTATATTTAAATTAATACACCGGACATTTTTAGAAATCAGTTTTGGTCTCATTTTTTATGTGGCTGACATTTAAAAAAAACAAACTTGAGTATAAACATAGGAATTCTGCAAGGTGCCCATAAGTGTCCTTTGCCCTTTAAAGGAAACTTCATGCAGCTCACAGCACTGCCAGTGTAGGACGCAACGGAAAAGGAAAACAAATGTTGTCCCTGAACAGAATATCCCAGTCTATCCCTATAGTCTATGCATACCCAGGAAGCATGGGCAGGTGACAGGGCTCTAAACACAGCACATAAGCCTGCAGAGAATCAGTGTCTGGAACACACAGTGAAACAGTAATAGCAATTCACAAGAAAAGGGAGCATAAAGCTTACATCACAGTTCCTTCTCCTGTCATGCTTCATGTTGGTAATCAAGCCCACTGGAGCCCAGGCTCCAGTCCCGTTTCCTGTCCACAGGGGCCCACGACACAAATAGTTGATGTTGCAGAGCATAACAAAATATTTTAGAATTCTGAAAAAAGCAGTCTCATGGAAAAATGAAGTTTTCAGTCAATATAGTCAACTGCTCTGATACAATTTATTTAAATATTTAAAGCAGTTTTGACATTTTTATACATACATACTATATCCAAATGTTGTTTGCCAAAGACAGTGATGTACATAAAAACCATGTATATTTGTTTTCTCTAGCTAAAGAGCTATCTTTTGTATCCCATTAATAACTATCTTTTATGAATTAACAGATGCATGGTAATAATTCAGTTTGAATGCACACCTTTAAGGTCCATTTACACCATGAAGAAATAGTGTACATCACAAAATCAAATCTATAGTCTCCTCAAACTTTGCAATGATCCATCTCCTCAGTCATTCAGTAGACCAACCACAGGTCACTGGGTTGACAGAGTCAGAGAGTGTGGAGATGCCTGAGTGAAAGACCTCAAAATGGATTACAGTAGCCTGTTCAGTAATGACTGATTAAAACTGTAGGAGACTGAATTCTCTGATGGGGATGCATCCCACATTGATAACATAATTAGATACATTAAGCATGTTGTTTATCATTGTGGAACTGCAGAATGGCCAAGGTAGGTCATTTTAATTATGTGACTTCAATTTATAGGGACCATTGCCTCAGTGTACACAGATTGTTTGATATAACATTCAGTTATTTTGTTTTATCTTAAGAATGCTAACAGCTTTTTTCCAGTATTTGCAGATTACAGACTTAAAGTACATGAAGGTGGAATCTTGTCATGCCACATCCGTTCGTGCAATTCATTGTTTGCTCTATTGATTTAAATTTTTCAAAACAGATTCCTTAATAAAATAATTAATCAAAGAAACAAAGCATTCTTTATGCAAGAATGCATATAACATTGTTTTTACAAATAAGTATTCTGAAATTGTAACACATTAGCAAAATTTGATTAAAAGCACACCAGTGACATTCCTTCCAGAATATTTGTTGCTGTTCTCATGCTCTCCAAAAAAAGGCCCTTACTAAAGCCCCATTAATAACACAAAAAGAAATCGGACCCACAGCCAAAAAATGAATACCAATTACCATCCCTATTAAGAACAGCATAAAAAAATAATTCACACCACATCACAGTACTGGACATATGAATAGTGTTACAAAAATGGAGAAAATCAGGAAATGACCCAGTTGATAAAACAATAAGTAAAATAAATGGTCATACCCCCCATCTTGTAAATGATATTTTCAAGAATATAACGAGAGCATACATGTACGTGTATATTGGTATATTTGGTCTAGTTAGAGGCACATGAGTTCTTTGTTCTCAGGTCCATCTTTGGTGAAAAGAACAATAATTCAGGCACACATTCTTAAACACATTTTAAAAAACAATTAAATATTTATTAACAGTGACAATAAACACTTAGCAAGGTTCAAATGCTTAGCTCCAATTGAATCTTTTTGGATTATCTCGAACAAGGACCTCTCGTCTGGCTTGCACTTTAAGTCTCCACTGTCTTCACTTTCTCTCGTGGTCTGTTCTTCCCTCTATCCTGTCTTGCTCTGATCTTATATGGCATCTTTCTGGGCTGTCGATTGACACAGAATAATTTACCCAGAGCTTAACTAATTTAAACCAAGGTAAACCTTATGATTGCTTTGATCACTGACCCCCTACCTCCCAGCAAACATCGCTTTGCTCTGAAGCTGGAAATGTTGGAACTAGCTAGGCATTACCCATTGTTTGTAGATTCTTTTGAGACACTTCAATAGTAACCTATAGTTTTAACAATAGTTTAATAGGTCCTTCTGTCACAAAATATTTTTGATGCATGCAATCTAGATACTTTTGTGAGTTGATTATGTCTTTACTTTTCCTTTTTCTAGCTGGAGTAAACTGTATGGAGAGGCAGGACATTATTCTACATGGGTCCAAAAACAAACTGGGATTGACAGCAAAATCACATGCTCCCAGACTGTTGAAAAGGCACCCATTAACAGTTACACTGGTGAGTTCTGTCACATCTTACAGTTGAAGCAAATACTTTTCTGTGATTTTTGTTTCATTCATATGATATTCATAAAATCTAAATGAACATTTTTAGGATTGGATGTATGTGACAGTTAATCAGTTTGATTGTTTAATGCATGATAGTTTTGATTTTGTGCTGATCTTGTGCATTCTCTCCAAAATGCAAAGGTTGACAGAAAGATAGATATCAATTACAAGAATAAATATTTACTGTAATAGCTCTTGACTAGCTCTCTGGTTTCACAATTGCCAGAGACAGATTAATCAAATGTTGTATATATTTTAATATTTCTTGCTGCTAAATTTGACTCTCTCTATTCAAGAAACCAAGCCACTTTAGATGTTTTTCTAGCCCTGAGTTTGAAGTTGTTGTCTTTCTTAGAAAGAAAGGAATTTTGTTGCAAGATGAATTGATTAATTTGTTCAAACAAGTAGAACATATGCCACTAGTCGTGGAATTAACAAATATTTCAACTGAACAAATTAAGAAACACAGTAATGTTTAAAACAAATTAAATAAATGTATGATTATATTTGTACCACATACTAATTATGTCTAATAAAAATCAACTAATCATCAGTTTACAAAAAATCAATTGTTGAGGTCCCTGTCTCCATTTTTCCTACTAAACATGCACTTCCACATTGGGTCAATGACTGAAACTAAATGCAAACATCAATTGTGATCATAGCTAACATCTCATTATTTAAGGGCTGGTGTAGAAACCCTCATTTCCAGGAGGAAATCTAAACAAAGACACAAACGGGTTAAAGAGCTTGTTGTGTGAGATGCTCTCAAGGAATAGGTTATCTTCTCAAAGTTTATTGTTCTGTATTTCAGCCTGATTTAAGCTGTGATAATGTGTAGTGTAACAAACAATTCAGACCTAGATTACTGAGTAAAATGCTCATGTAATAAATGTATTCACATTTTTTATTGGATTATAAAAATGTATAACTTCTGTCTTATTTTGAAGAAACATTTCAAATCAAGTGCATGCCTTACTATCCAATGCACAAAGATACAGTAAGTGACGTTGTGACAAAAAAATATTTGCTTATTAAGCTACAAAAGGAGAAGTCTATGGTTAGGTGACTTTCCAAATTAACTTATCATTAAAATATTTAACATATTCTGTTTTTCTGTACATACAGTAAATTCACATACCACCTACTGTACATAGTTCATTGAAAAGGAAATTGTTAATGAAGTATAAGCTTTTTAAGGCATATTGATTTGAGTAGTTCTAGCATTTTGAAGTGCTGCAGATAAGAAAAAAAAACTTACTTTTACATTTAAGAGTTTCCAGGGTATCCACAAATTAAAAGCACACATTATATCTTGATATAAGGCTTGTTGTGTGTCTGTTTCACATCATGATCTTGTGTGAGAGACCATGTGGCCTTTTTTGTTGAACAGGACCTTAAAATCAATACAATTTAATCCATCTTCACAATATGTCCTCTGCAGCTGGAGACGTCTTAAATTGCCAGAACCTTTTTCCAAACGGTCCAGTTTTTGGCAGATATCCGTAATGTACATATTCCAAAAACACCATTATTTTTTATTATTAAAATTAAAATGAGAAGATGAGTTCTGATATGTCATGGTTTCTGCAATTTGCAATTTTAACCTAATTGTGTGTGTTTATCTAGTGTTATCTAGTTTTCTAGTGAATCACTTGAAATTTTGAAATGTTCAGCATAATCTCTCTAGAACAGATGTTTACTCCAAAATCTTTGTTAAATTAAACTGTAGTACTGTTTGGGTTGACATTAGTTTTGATGAAATAATAAAATATCAGATAATTCAATTTTTCAGTAAGGTTAAACAATGGAAAAATAAAGATTAATCATTTATGAAAAAGAAGTCACAGACCATTGCAATACCTCGTTCTTGATATGTGGCAACAACTATAATCATGTTATGTGCTGAAAACAGGATATTTGGAATTGTTCAAAGTAAGTTGCAGTTCAGTTTAGACGGCTATTTCTTTTGCCTTGTAGTTTGCATGTGTTCTATTAATCAAAGAGTATTGGCTTGGAAGCAAAGTTCTACTGTAGCTTGGAAGAAAGAAGAAATCTCACCTATTACAGGCTATACAAAAAAGGTCTCCCACTCCCATCAAAGTTGAGCAATGGTATTGTGAATGTGAAACCACTGAAGGGAGTATCATTCAAGTACATCACTGCCTGACATCTTGTTCATTAGGCAACTTAACCCTGGGACCCTCATTTATATTTTATTAAACAGTTTTACTTGTGTAGCCTGGTAGGAATCCCCTTCCTCATATTCCGCAGTGACACTGCAATCAATGACACACAGCCTGCTCTAATCACCTCACTTCCTGAGCTTCCTAAATCCAATTTACAGTTGCAATTATGTAATTTCTGAAGAGAAAATGTTATTTAAAAGTGTTTCCTTCAGAAATCTTTCTTATAATAAATATGAATACAACAACAATAATTGTAATGATTATAGTTGTTATTCAGTTTACCAGTGTTCTCTTTAGATAACACCCCAGTTACCTTGAACATATTTTAATAATTAAATTAATTTTAATAGCAAAATTCCATTAAAAACACAATTTGATGATAACTATTGCTTTTAGATGACTGAATTACATTAGTAAAGGTATCCCCTTATACAATAAAAAAAAATCTATGAAGTTTCTATAGAAATACCTCAGTTCTCAGTCTCTGAACACTTTCTTCAGAAAACTTTATTTCCATACGGCTCAGTAAGACAATAAATAAGGTTTTGATATTAATTTTGAGAATTTCAGTGTGTTTTCAGAGTTGTTTTTTTGTCCTGATTTACATCCTTAAATCAGTCTGCCCGCTAGCATAGTAGACTTTCTGTCTGTTATGTGACTCCCTTAAATCAAACATATCTAGTTTTCAGTATCATTTTTTTGCCTAAAATGCGCTTCTTTGTTGTGGCAGAACCAACTCTAAATTGTGTAGCTATTTTGTCAATTATTCTTGGGCTTTTCAAAGATGCCCTTTAAAATTCTGCATGGATTAATTACGAAATAACCCACCTTGACATTAATGACATTGAGCTGAATACTGAAAAAATGCTTTGTAAGGTGCTATTATCAAAATGGATCTAATGCATGTACTCCCAGGGTGCCTTTCTTTGGGATCTCTGTATTCTGAATATAGATTTTTGTGTTGTCAGCAGTTTACAGGATTTGTGATAAATATTTGAAAACATAGGTAGTGCAAAAGACACACAGCTTTCAGCTTACCTACTCTCAAAAACAGAGCAAATGGGATGAGCCTCCATTCACTGAAAAGTGTCAGTTCAGCTTTTGTTTCAGTAAGTCTTAGTGTTTTTATTATCATTATTATTTTAGTAGTTAACCCTTAGCATTCATTTATCAAACACAACTTTACTTTCTTACTTTCTGTCAATCAGACAGAATATTATAGCTGAATTTTCAGGGCCTTATTTCTGACCTTTAAGACCATAGGTACTACTCTTTGAGTACACAAGTAGCTGTAAATGTATACTAATTATCGGAGCTACCGTATACAGCAAAAATTAGATTTTCATACCAAAACCTGATGCTGGTAACACAGTTTATCAAATATGCTTTTAGATGCTACATTTTTTTTTTCATTTTTGACGTGTGTTTTTAGTATTGCATTTTTACATTAGTTTAATGTACTGCTGAATTGTAACTATAGTTACCATTTTAAGTTACAAGAATAAAATACAGATACAGTATTTTTTCCATCACATGAAATAAAAGTATAATCCAAGTATCCATGTAAATAGGAAAGGAGGAGTAATTACTAATTGGAAGTCTTCAGGAAAGCCTCTCTCTGATATGGTAATGAGCAAACACACATTAACACAAACTTGCAAATGAGGTTTAGCATACATCAGAAGCCCCAGAGTTGTAATAAGCCCATTTATTGAATTAAGAGCCCTCTAGTCTCTCTCAGAGTTTGTTTCCTGTTTACCTATTCTATCAGACCATCTCTTTTTTCAAAGAAGATGTAAAGCACACTTTTTTAAAAATAAAGAACATTTAAAAAAGATTTCCCTAAAAGCATCCCCAGGGCTCCCAGATTCAGTATCTGCTCTTAAGCTTTTGAAATTCTAAGAACACAATCTTGTTGTGCTTGGTAAGGTTTTCCTACTGTTTAATCATCTGCAGTGCCTGGTATAAATATTTTAACAGTTACAATGAAGACCACATAATATTGTTTAGAACCTGATTAAACTGGTGATCAGATTGTATTTCTTCTAGTTCAAAATGCATATTAATCTGTGTATCTACGGTATGTATCAAAATGCAGAGACTGACAGCGTAAGCGCAGGATGTCCTAAAATGCTAGACAGGCGATTTTTCCAAGGTCAGCACCCTTCTCTGTATAGTGTGCCTCCTGTCAGTCTTTGACTGATAGCCTGTGCTCCACTTGATAATTGGTGATGCATTTCTAGTCATACAAATAATTTCTATTAAAGCAAAATGCACCATTAATATTCTGTATTGCTTTATAAGTATAACAATAGAATGCTTTCTCTCTGAAATTCTGGACTCTAATCCACTGTTTCTTAAATGCTGTATTCTATCCTTATGACCCCCAAAGCCCTGAGACCTGTTTTTCAAAGTTAAGAAAGGCTGCAGTCATGATGAGTAAGGACCGCATCATGCATACCTAAAAAACACAAGAAATTAAGTCATAAAAAGACATTCAGCAAGTTAAGTCAAATATTGTAATACCTCAAAAACATGAACATAACAACATAAAAACTTTGAACGGCATTCTCCAAAAATATTAGTAACAATTATGTGTTCAGTATGTAAATACCTTAAAAGTAAATTTATTCAGAACTGGTGTAGCTTGTTAATACTTTATCGTCTCTTAGAAACCTGGCTCTTGGTTTAGAATGCGCAATACAAAATGCAAAAGGAAGAGGTTCTGCTTACTAGTACTGTGTAAAGTAGCACTGTTAGT